AAGAGTGATGCGATGGTTTTTGAACACAAATCAGTCGGAGATTCTCATTCATAATATCGACTGTTGGCGGTTAACAATGGATAAATTTGGATTTATTTATGTTTGTGATGGTGAGAAAGATGAAGTGAGAAGATGGAAAATAGGAGAAAAGGGCGAAGGAACATTAGTTGCTGGTGGAAATGGAAAAGGAGATCGACTCAATCAGTTCAACGTTCCAAATTCTCTGTTTGTCAATGACGAACAATCTCTTTATGTTTCAGATCTTTGGAATTATCGTGTGATGAAATGGAGAAAAGATGCACAGGAAGGAATTGTTGTTGCTGGTGGAAATGGAAGAGGAGAGAATCTGAATCAATTGAATCATCCTCAAGGAATCATTGTTGATCATGAGGGTCGAATTTATGTTGCGGATATGTACAATCATCGAATAATGCGATGGTGTGGAGGAGATAAAGAAGGTGAAATAATTGTTGGTGCAAATGGAAAAGGAGAGGAACCCAATCAATTGGCTGGTCCTTGTGGTTTATCATTTGATGATGAAGGAAATCTTTATGTTGTTGATTGGGGAAATCATCGAATTCAACGATTTGATTTTATCATTTGAAAAGAGAAAAATTTTATTTTAAATTTCGAAATTAAAATAAAACACAATTCGAAATGAAAAACAAAGTTTAAAGGAAAGTTTTCGAGAAAATTTTGTTTTTTTTTTTCTTTCCAATAAAAAAAGAAAATTCGTTCGATTTTCTAAATGAATATTTTATAGAAAATCATTTTAAAAACAAATTCAACACAAAAGAGAAAATGAAGTTTTGTGAAAAAGAATTTTGATGAAAAATTCGAATGAAGATAAAGAAAAGAACATTTCAAAGAGAAATTGTTGAATCGAAAATGATTTTCATCGAGAAATGTTCATTAATTTATCGATCTAAACAGAAATTTTTTCATATAAAGATGACTTTTTTGGAAATAACACGATGATCGTTGACTCAAAAGAGATTTCGAAGTTCATAAATGAAGAATTTCTTCATTTTGAAAAAAGATTTTGAATAAGAAAAACGAAATGATCAATCAATTTTTACTTTTGTGAATCTTTTGGTTTTTTCCTTTTAATAAATTTTCGTGTTTTTCTTCGATAATTTTCTGACAAGAAGAAGATTTCTTCAAATCAATTTTGTTTCACTTTGTGACAAAAGAAGATCAACAGAATTTGAGTGTTTCATTCTCAAATCAACTAAAATGAAATTAATTTCAATCAAAATTGAAATCAACGTTGGAAATATTTGTTAAAGAAAATAATTTGTGGAGATTTTCTAAGAAAATTTACGATGAAGTTATTAAAAATTAAAAAGAAAAGAGAAGAAATCTCTTCTGAAAATAACTTTTCTTGTGTTTATGAAGAAAATTCCAAAGTGAAAAAGAAATTCTCTTTTTTTCGTTTTGTCTTCATTGTTGAGATCGAATCAATTGTTCGTATTTTGTGAAATGTAAACGAAAACGGAGAAATACCTTTAGAACGATTTGGAACAGATGTCACTATAAAAGACGCACAGGTTTATTTTTCATAATATTTTCTTATTTGTTGGTGAATCTTGATCTTTTCGATGGAAAAAACCGATGACTAATTCTAGGGATGTAACGTAACAATACCAATAGTATTGGTATTGGTATTAGCCGGTATTAGTATTTGAGAAAGCTAGCAATATAAGCACTATCTATGTTTGCGTATTTGTCGTGTGTATAAAATCCAAATACTTGACTCAAGTAACTTGAGTCATATATATGTGACTATGGATTTATAAAATTGCGGGAGATGTGTGTGTTGTCCGGTCTTCTCTAAATCCGGTGAGATCATCAGTGTCCATAGAACGATGCGAAATTTTCTTCCTGATACCGTATGTGTCAAATAGAAAAGTTCAAACTTGGTAGTTCTTCACTTTAAACACAGTGTTCTCGTCGGCACTCAATGCTACGCGTGTGTATACTGTGTTTAAAGTAAAGTAGCGCTCTTTGACCATTGCAATTGATCAAAATTCCTTATGAATCTTTTCCCATACTGGCCAGCACATAACACTATGGTTTCTTCGAATTTATTCAGCTTCTTTTGTTTAGTTCTCATAAAAATATCAATACCAATACTCCAATACCGTATTGGTATTGTGACATCCCTATCATAAACTGCTTCGACAGATGCTGGACAATCTAGTGTAATAACAACAATTGGTACAACAGGTGTAGTTGAAAACTCATCTACTCTACTTAATCAACCTACTTGTGTTGTTGTTGATTATCAATTCGATGTATATGCAATTGACCATGCTAACAGTCGAATATAAAATTCTTATATTAGTCAAATAAGCTCTCACGAAAACTTGTAAAGAATATCAAGTTTTCTTCATTCTGGTATTTTAATATACCCAAATAAATATTATGATAACTTGCCAGTTAAAGTAGTTTTTAATAGTAGTAATCCACTTAATAGGATTTTGACACTGCAATGGAAGACAAATACATGATTATTTGAATCATTTGCGCGATGATCTTCTAGTTGTCTCTGGATATGCATCTACCAACATGATCGAAGGCAGTCGGTAAATACGACCAGTTAAAGAATCTGAACCAGTATCCTCCGTTTCTGTCTGCTGCAGGAAACAGCCTGACAAACATAAATTCTCTACTTGCTTACATGTCAATACTGAATTAATTGATTAACACAATTTGAAATAAATGTGATTTTTTGTTTCCAGACAATCTTTTTGTTACACTAAGAAAAGAAATCTAGTACCAAGTTCGCAACTGTTTTGTTTTTTTGTTAAATTACGTTATCTTACTTGATGTGAAGATAAGAAACAACAGCATTCGAATAGGCGTCCTTTGCTCTTTTGTTTTTTATCTATAAAATCGAAAGTTATAGAACTCGATCGACACAAATGTCGTTTTCATCACTTCCAATCGTTGATTTACAATCAACATCCGATGAGATTCGTCAATCTCTGTTAAACGCTTGTTTCACAACCGGTTTTTTCTATTTATCCAACCATGGTCTTCATCCACTTCAGGATCAAGTCTTTAATCTAGTGAAAGAGTTTTTTCATCGGCCGTTGGACGAAAAACTTCGTCATGCTCTAAGTCCAACTTCATATCACGGTTATTTACGAATCGGCCGTGAAAATCTGGATTCAACCAATTTAAAGCTCATTGACGAAAAAGAAGCCTTCAAATTTGGCCAGTCAGGTTTGAACAACATCGATCAATTTCCTGAAATTTTTCATCATGGCGAGAATTTCCAATTGATTCAGACCTTCTTTCACTCGTGTTACGATCTTTGTCTTCGTTTATTCGAACATCTGGCCGAAACATTCGAAATTAATCGAGATTATTTCACATCTAAACATCAATGGGACAAACCACCAGGCGCAACGATGAAATTCTTACATTATCCACCAACGAACAAAACAGATTCGATCCGAGCGGTGAGTTCATTCTTCACTCATTTCAATGAATGTATTTCTTTTCCCCAGGGTGCTCATTCCGATTATGGATCGTTGACTCTTCTATTTCAACATGATAATCAATCCGGTTTAGAAGTCTTTGATCGTTCGACGAACCAGTGGCATCCTGTTGAAGCTCATGACGATAAGATTGTCGTTAATTTTGGCGATGTTTTTGAATATTGGAGTAAAGGAATGATTAAAAGTACAATTCATCGTGTTAATCTTCCAACTGTTGATCAGCAGCATCATTCGCGATACTCAATCGCTTTCTTCTGCGATCCCAATGGCGATACACTTTTAACGCCGATCCCTTCCAAATTAATTCAGGATCGAATCTACATCAAAGATCAACATGCGACACATGTCTTTCCTGACGATGATCAACGGATTTTAACAGCGGGTGAACATCTTCAGATGAGATTAAATAAAACTCATACGTATTGATTCATTAACGAAGCAAACGAAGATCGTAATCACATAGGCTGTTTTATTATTAGAATAAACTTTTCAATTAAAATATCACTTTTCTTCAATACAGTTCAGTACTATCTAAGATAATGCCTTTCTGACTCTGACCTCCAGTAACAAGTAATTTTCCGTTCAGTAAAACAGACTGTGTGAAAAAAAGTCGAGCAAAGTTCATATCTACTATGCTTGTCCAAGTACCCGATGATCGATTGTATAATTCAGCAGCTTTTAAATAAACAGTACCATCATATCCACCAACCACTAGAACATTTCCATTTGCTAAGACACATGCTGAGTGACCGAACCGCGCATTGACCATATTTCCTGTTAATGTCCACACACCTGTTGATGGATCATATAATTCGGCACTATTCAAAACACTACTAGCTCCAAATCCACCAGCGACTAACACTTTTCCGTCAAACAAGATCGTTGCGGTATAGTGACTTCGTGCCATCTTGAGATTTCCTGTCAATGTCCATATGTTTGTCGATGGATCGTATATCTCTGCACTCTTAAGAACATTCACATCCATCCCACCAGCAATTAAAACTTTTCCGTTGTTTAAAACTGATGCTGTGTGATCTTCTCGTGCGCTATTCAAACTGCCTGTAAGTGTCCAAGTGTCTGTTAATGGATCATATAATTCAGAAGAACTCAACGCAGCAGTATTGCGTCCACCGATAGCTAAGACTTTTCCATTAACCAATGTAACTGATCGATGATCTTCTCGTGCAATGTTCAAACGTTTACCAGTTGTCCAAATATTCGCCAATGGATCATACAAATTAACATTCACCATAGCACCACTCAGATTATATCCGCCGACAATAAGTACTTGTCCATTGGATAGTACCGACGCTGTATGATCTTCTCGTCCAACATTGAACTGTCTCGTCAAAGTCCAAATGCCTGTCGACGAATTGTATAACTCCGAAGTATTAAGATAACCATTGGAATTCGAGCCACCAACAACTAAGACAGATCCATCGAATAGGATCGATGCTGTGTGACCATTCCTTGCGTTATTCATACTTCCAGAAGATATCCAAACTTAATAGAACACATGATATTATCTGCATAGCTTCAAATCAAGCTTTATTACTGACCTGGCACGGCTGTTGTTGTTGTTGATGTTGATGTTGATAAGGATGTTGTTCCTGTATCGTATAATAACGAAGTGAAACATTCAAAAAAGTTTACTAATCGTCAAAATTACTATTTGACACTTACTGAGTACTATTGCTATTGTTGATTGATTAGTAAATATGAGAGATGAATTGGGATCAAAATCAATTGTAGTTGTGTTTATATTTGAATGAAATAAATGGCAGGATTGATTGTTCAAGTAATAATTCAATGATAATATGAAATTGTTGGATTGAAGCATCTGGCAGATACATTCATTTAGAGTTTTATTCAGTAGTATTTGGGAAACATTTCCAATATTCCGATAATTTTCTATTTTGCCGATTAAAATACAATTTACAGCAGAAAATATTGAGAAGAAAACGAGTATTTGCCGCATCTACGTAGTTTGCAAAATATTTCAATGCTGATTTTCTCTTCTGCTACACTTCTCAAATCTAATTTGCTAAATGAAAATCGACGGAAACGCAAATGCTCTTTCTGCATAAAAGAGTACGTCACATGTGAAACCGATGAAACTAGTTGAGTAAAAATATTTTTAATTAAACTTATTCTAAAAGGAAAAAAAAATTCTACTTCAGACAACTATCATATTACAATGCAAAAGTCACGTGGTGCACAACGATACTAATTCATAACTTAAAATTGGATATTAGTCACAATTATAAAGTCACGGAGATTATGTGAACCCAGAAACTGTTGCATGATTTTTCCTCTTCTCTTTAGATAGATAAAAGTTAGTCCGTTTAAAAGCTAAGTAGTAAACAGATTTATCCTTTCGTATCATGGCTGTCGAACAGTTGAATCGCTGCATTAAGGACTCCATCGTGATTATGCCGCTATTGTTGAAAAAAAAACGGTGGTTTCAGATTAGATAGAATTTACATTGACCTACCAAATCGCCAAATAGTGTCATAAAGAAACCCAATACTTCTTTGACTTTGATTACTTTAGACAGATAACATCAGACATCTCAATTATACATTGAATAAAGTGAGGTCGGTGTCAATCGCTGATTCCCAGTAAATTCATACTCCAAAACTCAATTACTGAGCATCTTTCTTTGATACGCTATAGCTCGGAGACCAAAATGCAAATATAAGATATGAGACTACCTGTATGACGACTCTAATACTTGTTTAGAACGACATGGCAATGCAGTATAAGTATATCGATTCCGTTACTCTAGGATGAAACAATCGCGTGAAAATTTCGTCAGTCATTTCATTCTGTGAGTCACAGCACAAAAAAATGATCAATATTACGTCATTTTAAAACAGTAGCATGTTATATATCACTCTTGATGACGATGGTTTATTTGCATTTCTAGCTATATTTGAATTCAATACGATCAATAGTTCTTTGGTTATGAAATAAATGTTATAATCTTCGTTTCCAAACAGTACCTAATGTGATAATATATTCAAATTTTCGACGATGTTCTCGTATCATAAATGGGATTTCTTCTTCATGTATCAAATCGAATTCAGTGAGAATATTTTGAATTTCTTTCACACCATTTATCCATTCACTTTGCGGTGTGTATTGAGGCAGCCAGCTGAATGGTGTTGTCATCACTAAGATACCTCCTTTCTTCACTAATCCACCATTACCTTGCATACGTTTCAAACAGGTCGATGGTTTCGGGAGACGACATAAGACGTTTGCCAATACGACTGCATCGAAATCTTTCAGATCAGAACGTAGGGAACATGCATCACCAACTTCGAACTGTATTCGATCTCGATCGATAGAAGGGTTCACGACAGCGGTTAAGGTTGTCTGCTGCATTCCTTGATCCTTTCGATTGTATTCGAATTTTCCATACTGTTGTAAATGTCGAGCAACGGAAATAAAGTTCTGACTGTAATCGATTCCAATAACTTCGTTAAAAGTAATCGCCAATTCAAAAGTTGTGCGACCAACAGCACAGCCTAAATCCAGTGCACGATCAGTATGAGTGGCAAAGCGATTGACGAATTCAGCACAAGCAATAGGTAAGTCAGGCACTTTTGGAAAGATAATTTTTGCAGAGATCAGAGGATCAAAACGTTGCTGCTTTTCGCCCCAATGCATCAGAACGTACATATCGACCATTTGTTGTGTTTCGTAAGTATTCGTCGTTGAGTTTTTAATAAATCGAGCATTACAAGTGTATATATCATCGCTACGTGCGATACGAAAACCGGCATGTTGCATGAAATGTGGACGAAAATGGAATCTTGCCCAAACACTTGCTTCATCACCAGTACTTACAAATGAACCACCTAAAATCATGTGATGTTCTCCATCATAACATGGTACGCTAAAGTCATCGTAATATGGATGTGGTTGACTGCCATCCAGAGGATGAAAGTGATCTTCACACCATTGCCAAACATTTCCAAAGACATCGTAGAATCCGTTATCATTAACTTGACTCGCCGTAACTGCTACTTCTCCACCATGACGTAAATTATTGTTCCATTGATAATCTTTGCCATCACGTATGAGATTATGTTCACTTTCTGTCAATAAGCGATAAGGCATCACACTCTTCTCTTGCTCCGTGCGCCAAGCACAGTACGCTTTTGCTTCATGAAAATTAACACAAACCGGCGCATTCCATTGCATTTCAACAATTTCGAAAAGCGTACGTAATTTATATTGATGCAGCCCAGATGGACCAATGGGTACCCAGAATGATGGTGCTTTAACATTACGAAAAGAGCGCCACGTCCAACCGTCAGTAGACCAATATCGTTCTTGTATATAACCGCCCCCGGTAACAAATAGATAAAATTCTCTGTTACTTATCAGCATACTGCTTGCGCTGAAAGATTGAACAACTCGTTTTTCGTCGCCATATTCATTATCCCATCCAAAAGTCGGCCAAGCAATCGGTTTACCTAACTTAACTTCAGATTTATTTAAATTAATCATCAAGTTTTTTTTCGATGGTTGATCTTTCGTCTCCAACAATAGACTTGGCCAGATCTTACTTGCACGTACGAATTCAATCGGTAATTCTCTAATCAATACCGATGATGTTTCCAGATGTATACGTTCGTGTTCAAAACCCATTAGTAACGCCCACGTTGGTTTATCAATGGTAATTGGCATATGCTGTTCATCAAACGATGGATGTGTTTCAATTAATTTACGAATAATTTGATAAGCTTCGCGGCGGTATTGGTGTATTTCATCTATTGATGGCCAAACGTCATCATGACCTTCATACAAATCATCCCATCGCATTTCATCAACACCAGTTTCGAACAATCGTTCGAATTCACTACTTATTCCATTAACCAGTAGACCAGCTACACGTAACTTATTCATATACAGTACAGCTGGATGGCCATAATAGAATATCATCGGGTGACGTAACTTATGGTACGGCCGACGGTAATAAGCTTCTTCATTAGCTAACCCGTCGAATAGTACTTCTGTTAATGTCCATGTGTTGTCAAAATAATCGAGTAATTCTCTTCGAGTAGCATTGGTTTTCACTTGTGGTAGCGATTTTATAGTTCCATCTGGTTCCACACCAGGACAAATACCATAAACAGGCGATTTGCCCGTCCAGAACGAAGGAGAATGAAGAATAAAATTACTGGACGCCACAGCAGACATATCTGGATTAAAAAAGTAGACGGTAGGAAAAAAGACACTTTTGATCACTTGATAATGAAATCAACATTATGGCAAGGCGAAATATAAATACTCACCGCAGTGTGTAGGTGACGCTCTAATTATTGAGTTACTCAGATATGATGTACGCAATGTTAATTAAAAATTACTCACATCTAGTTCCGTCATAAGAATGAGCAAAGTTCGTTAACGAACGGCTCCCATCAGGTCAACTATTTTTATTACTCATCATAACACATATATTCAAAAGAAAAAGACAAGTCCGGTTTTTTTCGGTTAAAATCAAACATTTTACTCCTACTTGAATATACATCCATGTTAAACGTAAAATAAAAAGGTGTGCTTCGTCAGAATAAACAATTCGTGTTTACCTTTTCCCCAATATGACAAAGCACTTTTACATGCTCGTCCATACAAACGTATACCTTCGCTCTCTGACGTTTCGTTTTCGTTTAGATGAATACATTATTCATCCATGTCATGTCTATCTTCTGCTTTATATTTTGCACCAGATGAGAGAAAACAGCTAAGCTACACACCACTGCGTATTGATCAGAAAAATATTTTCGTGTGTCATTTCATTGAAACGCGAAAAGTATGAGTAATTTTAAGTTCGATGTCGCAGACGATATAAATGATTTTGTGTATTATATCGATACTGTTAGAAACTGATTAGAAATTTTGTTCTTATATAACTTTGAGGGTAAAAATGAATAAGAAGAAAGGTGGATAACGGTAGGCCGAATGACATGAAATAGTCGGCGATGAATGTTTGCGATGCGTTCAGAGATTATAGATATAGTGCGTGACAAGATAAATGATGATACAAAAGGTGACACAAAAAAGAGAAGAAAACTAAAAGTTAAAGGTACTTGTTTTCGCTGTTGAAATTGTTTATGTAATAATCGTCGATCATGTGTTAACTGCGGCGATCAAATTAATCAAAAACGGAATAAAGAAATGGTCCATGCATTGCTTTTCCGATGGTAAAGAGAAGGATAAGAACGATAATATACTTTGCAATAGTTTAACTATTTTCTTCCTTAAACTGTTCTTGTTGTCTCGTTAATAGTGTTTGTTTGATAGCAACACACGCATTTAACCATTGATCCGTATCAAGGCTAATTCGACGAATGATGTCCATGAAAAGACATTGAAAACAGAAATAACTGATTTGTTATCGAAATTACTTACGAAATGATGAAAATCCAAAACTTAAGAAAAAAACAGTACTATTGTAAACAAACTTGCAATTGATGAATCTAGTAAATAGAACGCACTACCAGTTGTTTGAAGATCTTTTTCTCTAAAACTGATAATTCTGACTATTCCCATATGAATCGTTAATATTCCGTTGATCTTGTGTTTCACAGAAACATACTGGATATCGACAGATCGATATTTGAGTATATCACACGTTCATGCCTAAATTGATACCAAAACAGAAATAAATGTCGTCGTGAAAGCAAGACAAGGTCGCTGATAGGTCCTGGCATAGAATCTGATAAAATTTCATTCGTCGAACGGAATGTCATTGCACAATTGTTTGATTAAAGATCTCATCAATGTGTTTATAATAGTCAGGTAAATAAATTTCTGTCGTTATTGTTCGCCATGGTTTGAAGAACTTGTTCACAAAAACTAAATAATAATTCGTTGGACTAAACCCAATGAAAATTACATGAAATGGATTTGACCCATACACGACAATGACGATCGGTACATTGGTCGACATTATCATGCGTTCGCAAGATGTATAGGAGAGTGGAGATGCATTGAACAGGTGGGAATGGGAAAAGAACCGGAACTCGTAGTAAACCAGGAAATATTTGGAGTTGAGCGGTGAAATTAAGACGTTCATTTTGATATTGAGATCTTTCACCATAGTGGTTCGGTGAGCAAAACCATGTCCGTGTTGTTAAATTCTGTTTTGTATCAACCCAAACGAGCATATTCTGATGAAGATAACAGTAGAATTCATATCGAACAGACGTGTTAATCTTTGTTGAACCGAATGGATTATCCGACGAATGTATTTTGGCCATTTTCTCGATATTGACCGTAAAGTCTAATGGTGCTACTCGTTTGATGTACTTCCACAATCGACACGTCTAGTTAAAGTACGAACCGATTTTGATCGTACAAGACTGACAATCTTCTCTCGAAAGGCATTTCTTTCGTTGATTACTACACAGATGTCATCCGTCATTGTTTCACAATGGAAATTATTCTTATTTTGTATTATGTTGACCGAACGGCATAATCTCGCGGTTCGTCTGTTCCACTGAGGCAATCAGTTCGATATTCTATGGATACAGATCTATCCAGAATATATGACTTCGTGTAATAAACAATACATGTGAAAATACACGATATATTCCTTTATTTATCGTTTTACATAATGTAACTCAATGCATCGAAATAGAGGAAAAGTAATAGCTGTGAAAATCAATGCACATAGAAATCCCAAATTTGGACTTTGTGCAGCTCCATTATTTGAGAACACCTTTGAAATAGGACCTTGATACCAATCTTGCGACATACCGAGGACAAATCCAATCACTCCTACTGCACCGGCAAATATTGCAGCGAAACTAATAGGTAAAGCTTTTCGATCGTTCCATGAATTGAAATCATAGTTCTTATACGAACAACGTCGGAAAATGAAATGTTCTTCCAGCAGCACAACGATATAAATTGAAGCGAAGCCTGATACAACATCCATGAACGATACCAATACTTGATTAAAATTCTTTGCGGCCACAATTGCTAATATCGTATAAATCAGAGTGCCAACTATTGCATAGTACATTCGAGGAATTCGTTGAAATATTGATGAGATAGCTTGAGCAGACAAAGAGAAAGAATAAATGTTTGGAATAGTACATGCAACTGCTGAGAATGAAAATAAAATGAGAAGAATTTTAGCAAAAACACCCAGAGATGCAAGAGATGCACCTAATAATCCGCCAGCATTATCAACTTGGTATGCATAAGCCCATTGTTCATTTGTATAAGTGCCTGTATAAACGGCTGTGCCGAGAAGTTCTAAGGGAATTATCGCAAAGAAGTTTCCGAAATAAGTGAAAAGAAAAATTTTCATTTGATTTGCATCTTCTGATAAATACGTATTATAATCGGCAGCTAAGACCGACCAACTCGTAGCGGCAGCGGTACATGACGCGCTGAAACTTAACATACCATTGGTATTCCATGTACTTCTCCTGTACATTGTTCTTGTTGCGTTTAAGTACACCTAGAAAACGGAGAAATTCAATTGATAATGTCGATCAATCTCGACCCTACTTCTTGTGAATGTTGAATGTCGTTAACACTAAGGATAGCGACAAAACAATATGCAATAAATACTGGAATCCATGCGTATTTTTCATAAATATGAATCCATTCGTAACCAGCAAATGAAACGATTATAACAATAATGGCTATAAGGAGAATTCCAACAGTTAACGAGATTTCATAATCGAAAACAACACGTAGTACTTGAGCACCAGTTATAACATTCACAGTTGACCATCCTAGAGCCGAGATCACCGATAGAATAGATATGACCGATGCGCCATAGTAACCCCAGCTGTAACGGATGATAACCATCGTCCGCAAACCTGACGGTGGACCAAAACAAGAAATAATTGCAGTAGGGAGAATTGAACAACTGGTGGCAATGAGAATTGTTAAGAATGACTCATAGAGATCCAATTTATAAACAGCTGGTCCAATTGCACCAACAGCAAAGCATGGAATAATAATATTCATTCCGATCTTCAAAGAGAAGCGAAGCATTAAAAACGAGAAATATATCTTCTTATCATACCCAAATGATAGACGTGTTTAGAACCGATGAATCAGTACGTTCTGAAGGTAGAACACGCTGGATGCCACGTTGTTCTGCATGAATGTAATCGAGACTGTTTAGAAATTTGTTTAATCGATTGGAATTCGAATTGAGTGATGACGAAGACGAGTTTTGAATACTTTGATAATCTTTATTTTGTCCAAGTGGATTGATATGCATTTCATCATCATTTGATATCAGAGGTATGCTGGATGATTGATTTTGCAGGGACATATTATCAATGGTTTTTTTGAGATTCAAAATAATGATCGAAGTCGCAACGTGCAAATTGACACAATCACAGCAAACGAAATACAATTACCGAGGCGTAACATGCTACATGTATGAGAAAGTGAGAATGAAACGTGCGTTTTTATATAAACATTTACATGTAAAGAAGAAAAAAAAAGGTGAATGATTGGTTTCTGACTAATGGTTATTTGAATATTTTGAGTATTGCTTATCTATAAAGGACACAATCTAGTCCACAACATCTTTGATATAAACATACATCGAGGCTTGTCGTTTTGCTCTAGTCAAAATGTTGACTTCATCTACGTTTTTAGTTCTCGAAAATAAATATTTGATCAGACTTGTCTCGTATTGAAGGTTGTTCTACGAAATAAAGAGTCATCTAAACATTTTAAAGTATGAAGTGCTGTGTTCTTTTCGGGAAAATCGAATGCATATCTTGATAACCACGAATTTGCCTTAACTGTATAAATAGTCTACAAAAAAGAATAAAATACTCATTCAATTGTAATGGTTTTGCAATTATATCTCATCTATTCGTGAAGATCGTCGACAAACGATTGATTGTGTATGAAAATATTTGCACAAAAGTAAGATAACTCGAACGTTGTCGAGTGTAAGTTGGTTGGCAAACAGTAATAAGATCGGATTTGGCTATAATCTATACTTGCTGGATCTCCCTTATGATACACAGGTGCATGTGAAATGAACGAATTTATGCGTTAAATTTGTAAACTTAATTATACAGAACCACCCGTTGGATCATGTACCAATAAATTATTACCAAATCATGTGGAGCTTGATTGTTTACCGTCAACGCCACAAGTTGTTGATAGCGAGATGGTTGATACAATGGAACATTTACATACATCGATTAGCAAGAAAATTGAAGTTTCTGTTGGGGTTAGGTTTAAAGGCATTGGCTTTTTGTGCGGGTTTTCACGAGAAACTAAGAATATGATTGATAATATTGTTAAAAAACCATCTTGAGTACAAAATAACGACAAAAAAGTACATCGTATCATCATGAATGACGAGAAGATTGCTTTTTTTTTAAACACGGAATGAAGACGATTTCTTAATAGCTGAACTTTATTTTTACTTTATAATAGCATTTTCTTTGATCATCGAAAGAACATATACGATCAAGTTTAGTTCTATTTCTTTTCTAACAGGATTCTCAATTGAGGAATCATTTTTTTACAAAAATCGACTATGCATATTCTTTAACAATGTGTGAGCGTGTTTTCTTCTGCTTCTAGTGGTTATATCTAATCACGTACAGGTGTAGCTGCTTCCCTATGTATCTCTATCTGTTCTCTCTTCTTTAATGAAGAAACATTCATCTAAATTTGTATTTTCTTGAACAGTCAATACATGCTCAACTCATTGTAGTTTCAGGCTTATACGCAATAACGCGAACTTCAACATATGAAAGTGTTGACATTCAGATATTTATTACAAAACACAAGTAAGAACTAGATTATTTTATGTTTTTCTTGTCAACCATGTAGACATAGATAAACAGCTGATTTTATTGAAAGAATCTAGTATCTCTTGCTAATCTCGTATATCTAGTGACAGAAAGTATGTCTAGAGTAGAGTTTACAAATAACGCACTTTGAGCGTGGAAAGATCGTTTTCGATTATCGTCATCTGTAAACTCGGAAAAGCTTACCGTTGAATCGATAACGGTACAGAAAAATATCAGCACTGGTATTTTTTTTTGTCTCACTGACGGTTCACGTTGATTTCTCAGTTAACAATGCAGAAAACTACTTCAAAAGAAGAGATATGTCTTATCTTAGAGACTAAGAAAAGACGCCGAAACGGTGAAGTAAATTCTATGACGTCGTGAAAAACGACTGCTTTGAGTGCACATATCCTTTCGTCCTTATGTTTCTCTCTAGTGTTCACAGTTCTCGTACCAGTTGGGCAGTTTCGGCAAAAAGTCGCGCGTCAATTACACAATCTCAATTTCTTTCTCTCTGTTCCACCAACAACTGATTCCCATCAACTTCACACCCAACGCATCTCGACACGACTATTCATTCTCATCTTTCTTCTCTCACTAACCATTCTCCTTCTCTCGTCACCATCATAAAACCCATCACCGTTCACTGGTCATCTTTCGACACATACTCATCATCTCTCACATGTCCATGCACAACAATATCAATCAAATACGAGCAGCTTCTGCACATCGACTACACATTACATCAAGTATGTCAAAGTGACTTCATCAGTCCGGTTTGGAATCAATACTTGAGTTCGTTTGTTGGAGTTTACCGGGCAGATGATTTTCGTTGGATAGGTGTGGAAGCATTTCAGGCAATGAGAATGTTTTGTGAATTCAGCAAAGAAACACTTTCCACACAGTGTCGCTCAGCTCCTATTCCAACCAGTATACCAGTGAATCTGTCATAATCAAGCAAGTGTTTGAATCTCAATGTCAAGCACTATAATCAATTCAGAACATCAACAACAAACAATTTTCTATTATTCCTTTCGACAATACGTGAAATCATTCGAAGCAATGGTCTTTTGTCTGCGTTACAAACTAATTTTGTTATAGAGATTGCTAACGGTAACGACTCCGTGTGTGCAAGTACGGCTGTCTACTCTGATTGTTCATGTCAAAGCTCTCCAAGATGTACTAAACAGTCGTCCGTTTTCAATTACAATAGTAATCAAAGCCGCTTCGATGTACCAGGTTTTTATACATATCTCTCAGTACATCGTTATGGCTCGATGTCATATCTCTTGATTCATCGGCATCAAACAACTATGCACCAGACACGAACATTCAACAGATCATGAACAATCTGATGATTGAAACATAGATGTATGATCGTTATTATGATGAATGTCGACCGAAAGAATATAATTATGTGACTGAGGTGAAAAACGATGTGATTACTATCGCGACGACGTTGATTGGTGTGGTGGATGTTCTGATAACAGTGCTGAAACTTGTGATACCGCGCCCGAAAGTGAAGAACAAGAGACGTTGTAAAAGCAGCATCAAACCAAACCGAACATTTACAAGTGCGAAATGCTTTACTTTGGATTGGTGCACGTGAAGCATGAAGAACATTTGAATGGAAATATCATCAGACAGATTCTTACTATTGTATTGTTGAATAAACTGCTTTTGTAAACTAGTTTTTTAGAACTAACGTACAAGTTGGGTGTGACGGTGAAGAACTTGGTAGTCTCATCCGCTTATTTTTATTTTAGATAATTTGTCGTACGAAGTTGGTGCGTTTCATCAGCATAACAGATGAAGGGATGAATAGCCTTTTCGTGGGAAACGTTTGAGTAAATTTGAAAGAATATTTTCGTAGATATTCCTGTATAAGGCTTTAATAATAATGTTCAGATTTCTTCAAACAAATATTCTGTTCGATTACAGACCTTAGTTGTATCAATACGAAAATCATAATCTAATGCTATGAAGCGGGAAACTTCTTGATATTCTGTAGTTGGTACGTTGTTCGTAATATTGATGTTAACTGTATTATGTATAATAAATGGCGTCGATCGATTATTTAAGAAATCGAATATGCCTCTGTCTATAGTATGTTCTTTATATGACATTCTTTGTTAAATTTCGAATAAAAACATGACCGATACTATTCTCTTTAAAGTTTAAAGTAACATTTATCGTTCTTCAACGGTTTTTTAATCCTCGCGTATGTGATCATTTGCACAATTTAATCGAGCAAAATCATCACAATTTTGAAAACTATTGATGGATCAGTCATCGAATATTTCACGTTCATTTTCGTTTTTGAATAATCAGATTCAAAGAACAAAATCAACTCCACCAGCAAACTGGAAAGCTTCTTTTCCGATCAAATGTTTGCTCGTTTTCTTTATTCTATTCTCATTTGGCTTAAGCATCATCGTCATCGCCTTAGTTATTACATTCGCATCTTTATACAAACCAACATATCAAATCGGTAATCAATAATCGAATTCTCATTGTTATGTTATTTTTTGCTTTCATTTGAACAGAAACGACAACAATAGGTGCAACAGTGCCGAATGCTGCTTCATGTGGAAAACAAGAGATTCTACCGTACGTACCATTTCAACGTATTTACGGAGGAATTGAAGCTGTACCGAATTCTTGGCCTTGGGTAAAATTTCTTGTTTTTTTTTCTGTGACAAAAAATCTCGTTGTCTTAATATTATAAGGTTGTTTTCTATATCGAAACTCCTCCATGTAGCAGTTCAAATTGTACATCGAGCATCTGCGGTGGAACGTTAATTCATCCTCGATATGTTCTCACCGCCGCGCATTGTATAACTGCAACCAATGGATCATTTATTCGAATAATTGCCGGTTTACACAATACTTCATCAACCCTCGAGAGAAACGTTCGTCAAACTCGCCGTGTGGAAAAAGTCTTCATTCATCCAACATTTGTTCAATTATCGCTACTCGGTGATATTGCAATTCTTCAATTAAATGCTCCCTTCTACCTTAACAGATTTATTCAATTAGCATGTTTATCTGATCAACAACCACTAGGGAACGATACGGTCATTATAGCTGGATGGGGTTCTGCAGAATTCCGAGGAAGATATGCACCTGTGCTTAAACAAGCATTTACCCAAGTGATTGCTGGGTGCAATCAATGGTGGTCAGCGGAAGGCGTTGATGAACGAAGACAAATTTGTGTTGCCAATAATATAACAGGTGTATCAGCATGTAGTGGAGATAGTGGAGGTCCAATCTTATCCAGGGATGCACAAAACCGGTGGATTGTCTCAGGGATTGCGTCATACGTTGAAAGATTTAATTGTAAAACGAATAATAGTAGACCCAATGTTTATACTCGTGTTGCTTATTATCTTCCATGGATTCATCAGATTGCTTATTCGAATAAATCGCTTGATTGATGAATATTCATTCGAGTGCTATCATAAAATATAGTCATATAACGCGAAACCGGTGGAAATATCATGAAAAGTGCGACGCCCAATTATTTGTATCACATACAATGGGCGATAAGGTAAAAACATACTGAAAATAAATCACGATTACTTCTACATTCTGATTGGTCGATAGTCATAGAAAAAAGTCATTGTCAAGACTCCATGATTTCTGTTTTGACTTCCTGGATTTGCATATGTACACGCTACATCACATACACATACAAATAATCAAACAAGCAATGCAATGCACAAATCTTCATCTTCTTATTGCTGTTGTTATTATCAGGTAGAACTATTTATTGAAATTACTTCGGAAATCAGTTTCATTATACTATTAGCATCGCTGGTATATGATCAACAGAATGTATCACATGTAGTAGTGATACTGCGAGTGCGTGTGATCCAGCCTCGACGTCAAAATTGTCGTGCAAAGGAACCGGACGAATCTATGTGATTCCAGATGAATGTATGGACGATGGTGGTGTTGACAGTGCAGGAGATTCGCTCGAAATCTATTGCGTTTGCAATCAAGCTCGTTTTTGCCTTTCGGATGAAGCATGTCCATGGCGAAATGGAACGGCAAATGCAGTCGATAACGGGCGCACGTGTTCTCGCGCTGGTCTCACATCATCCTACATGGCGAATGCTTGGTGCAAGCAATGGAATAATCATACAGCCTATAATTGCTGTTATGATGGCTTTATTGGATTTTAATCATTATTGAACATTGACATCCTAGTAAAACAAGACACTGTACTAATACGTATTAATAAACGAGAGTAATTTTTTATCATGATAAGCAACCATCGGTGTAAATGTTGCTGGATTCTATCATTGCTTGTGCGACATCTTTATACAAGTACGAATCTTAGCTGTACACACATCTTCAATTAGATCGAATAGAAAAGAATATGTTCATTTCTTCTGTCAGTTTTACACGTAAAATTTACATGACCTCGATCCCGATTTGAGTTTATTCAAACTATAGACACAAGTCCATCGATAAATATTTTATTTACACGTATTCAATACGATATAACAGAACACGTGTAGAAATTCGATTAAATATACGAAAGAGAAGAAAGGGCTAATGATATTTCGCGCATTTATTATTTCATAGCTGTCAAAAATAATTGCATATTTTGATTCATCGAAACCTTGTCAATCATTGATAGATCTGTTTTCTTTTCTCCTACATTGAAATCAACGTAAGTCGTCTAACCATATTCGTTAATGAAACAACCGACAATAAGTAGTTCTCCAATGAAATCCTCGTTGTCAAGCGGAACACGTTCATCAACAAGCATGTCGGTTCGATTCCAGTTTGAGGAAGACGACAACGAACATGAAAATAAACGTCTGACAAGAAAACAATCAGCTGAATCATTTGTCATTCATGAAATCCAACCGTGGTCTTCTATGCTTCCTTCTGAACAACAAAAACAGTCGGAAAATGAAACATTTCATCCGTTAGATGAAATTGTTGTTCATCCATCACCTCGTCGTTCTCGATCATTTTTGATTCATCGAAATCGTCGTTTTGATTCTCCTCACGATCGAATTACGCTTCGTTCACTTTTTGGTACTATGTCACAAATCCATTATCTTTTCACTCATAAACAATTCCTTCGCGGTCTTCGATTTCTCAAATTTTTTATCAATTTTATCGATTCAGTTTTCAGAGGAATCGGTCAACTCATGTTCGCGAATAATCCACTATCTGGTTTGGTAAGTTTAGTCACTTTCTGCTTCGTTTCGTCGTAAGAAAGATTGTTTAGATCATCGTTCTAGCGTTAACCATGAATGAAAAATCTTCGGCTTCCTACGCTTTCTTTGGAACGATAATTTCCACGTTAACCGCCCATTTTCTTGGATTGAATTCGCAATCGATCCAAAGCGGCCTGTATGGCCCAAATGGATGTTTAACTGCATTGATTATAAGACATTTTTCACCCGGTCACACTTTTTTTCATCTTATCGGACCAATGGTATTTTTTTGCATTTGTTCAACCATCTTCTTCGTTGCACTTTGTAAAATATTCGTTGTGAGATTCGATATTTCACCATTTACATTTAGTTCTCATCTGTGTTCGTNGTAAACGGAATTGGGTGGTGTATAGGGGAGATGATATGTGAGGGTGAAGGGGGTGGGTGTAATTCCGGAATTGGTAGGAATTCCGCGGAATTCCATGGAATTCCTAGCGATTCCGGAATTGCATGCTTGCTTAAGTAGGACTTGCTATCATCGTCCTGGAACGATTCAATTCCGTTTACGGAATTCCGGAATTCGGTGCGATTCCGGAATCGGTAGGAATTGGTAGGAATTCCACGGAATTCCTAGCGATTCCGGGTATGACTGAATTCCGGAATTCCGTAAACGGAATTCGGTCATGTATAGGGGAGATGATATGTGAGGGTGAAGGGAGTGGGTGTAATTCCGGAATTGGTAGGAATTCCGTGTAATTGTGTGTATGGATTCCGGAATTGCTTCGGGTGAATTCCGGAATCGTGGGAACTGATTCCGTGTGCGGAACTGATTCCCAAATGTGCAACATTGCGGAATAGGATGTATTCTCAAACATAGATGTATGATCGTTACTATGATGAATGTCAACCGAAAGAATGTAATTATGTGACTGAGGTGAAAAACGATGTGATTACTATCGCGACGACGTTGATTGGTGTGGTGGATGTTCTGGTAATAGTTCTGAAACTTGTGATACCGCGCCCGAAAGTGGAGAACAAGAGACGTTGTAAAAGCAGCATCAAACCAAACCGAACATTTACAAGTGCGAAATGCTTTACTTTGGATTGGTTCACGTGAAGCACATTTACGAATGGAAATATCATCGGATAGACTCTCACTATTGTATGGGCTAATAAACTGCTTTTGTAAACTAGTTTTTTAGAACTAACGTACAAGTTGGGCATGACGGTGAAGAACTTGGTAGTCTCATCCGCTTATTTTTATTTTAGATAATTTGTCGTACGAAGTTGGTGCGTTGCATCAGCATAATAGATGAAGGGATGAATCGTCTTTTCGTGGGAAACGTATGAGTAAATTTGGAAGAATATTTTCTTCAAACAAATATTCTTTTTGATTACCGACCTTAGTGGTATCAATACGAAAATCATAATCTAATGCTATGAAGCGGAGAACTTCTTGATATTCTGTAGTTGGTACGTTGCTCGTATGACATTGATGTTAACTGTATTGTGTACAGTGAATGGTGTTGATAGATTATTTACGAAATTGAATACGCCTCTGTCTGTAGTATGTTCTTTATAATGACATTCTTTGTTAAATTTCGAATAAAAACACGACTGATGCTATTCTCTTTAAAGTTTAAAGCGACATTTATCGTTCCTCAACGGTTTTTTAATCCCCGCGTATGTGATCATTTGCACAATTTAATCGAGCAAAATCATCACAATTTCGAAAACTATTGATGGATCAGTCATCGAATATTTCACGTTCATTTTCGTTTTTGAATAATCAGATTCAAAGAACAAAATCAACTCAACCAGCAAACTGGAAAGCTTCTTTTCCGATTAAGTGCTTGCTCGTTTTCTTTATTCTATTCTCATTTGGCTTAAGCATCATCGTCATCGCCTTAGTTATTACATTCGCATCTTTATACAAATCAACATATCAAATCGGTATTCAATAATCGAATTCTCGTTGCCATCTTATTTGTTTTATTTCATTTGAACAGAAACAACAACAATAGATGCAACAATGCCGAATGCTGTTTCATGTGGAAAACAAGAGATTCTACCGTACGTACCATTCCAACGTATTTACGGAGGAATGGAAGCTATACCGAATTCTTGGCCCTGGGTAAAGTATCTGCTGAATTTTTCTTTCCTGTAATTAAAATCTCGTTCTGTCAATATTATAAGGTTGTTTTCTATATCGAAACTCCTCCATGTAACAATTCAAATTGTACATCGAGCATCTGTGGTGGAACATTAATTCATCCTCGATATGTTCTCACCGCCGCGCATTGTATAACTGCAACCAATGGATCATTTATTCGAATAATTGCCGGTTTACACAATACTTCATCAACGCTCGAGAGAAACGTTCGTCAAACTCGCCGTGTGGAAAAAGTCTTCATTCATCCAACATTTGTTCAATTATCACCACTCGGTGATATTGCAATTCTTCAATTAAATACTCCCTTCTACCTTAATAGATTTATTCAATTAGCATGTTTATCTGATCAACAACCACTAGCGAACGATACGGTCATTATAGCTGGATGGGGTTCTGCAGAATTCCGAGGAAGATATGCACCTGTGCTTAAACAAGCATCTACCCAAGTGATTGCTGGGTGCAATCAATGGTGGTCAACGGAAGGCGTCGATGAACGAAGACAGATTTGTGTTGGTAATAATATAACAGGTGTATCAGCGTGTAGTGGAGATAGTGGAGGCCCACTTTTATCCCAAGATGCACAAAATCGATGGATGGTCTCAGGAATTGCATCGTACGTTGAAAGATTTAACTGTAAAACGAATAATAGCAGACCGAATGTTTATACTCGTGTTGCTTATTATCTTCCATGGATTCATCAGATTGTTTATTCGAATAAATTGCTTGATTGATGGATATTCATTCGAGTGCTATCATAAAATATAGTCATGTAACGCGAAACAGGTAGAAATATCATGAAGCCAGCGACGCCTCTTTTTTTTGTATCACATACAATAGGCGGTAAGGTAAAAACATACTGAAGATAAATCATGATTACTTATATATTCTAACTGGTCAATAGTCATAAAAAATGAAGTAATTGTCAATAGCCCATGATTTCTGTTTCGACTTCCTGAATTTGCATATGTATATAAACACTCAGCTTATACACGCTACGTCACATACACATACAAATAATCAAACAAGCAATGCAATACACAAATCCTCGTCTTCTTATTGCTGTTGTTATTATCAGGTAGAACTATTTATTGAAATTACTTCGGAAATCAGTTTCATTGTACTATTAGCATCGCCAGTATATGGTCCACAGAATGTGTCACATGCCGTAATGATACTGCGAGTGCGTGTGATCCAGCCTCGACGTCAAAATTGTCGTGCAAAGGGACCGGACGAATCTATGTGATTCCGGATGAATGTATGGACGATGGTGGTGTTGACAGTGTAGGAGATTCGCTCGAAATCTATTGCGTTTGCAATCGAGCTCGTTTTTGCCTTTCGGGTGAAGCATGTCCATGGCGAAATGGAACGGCCAATGAAGTCGATAACGGGCGCACGTGTTCTCGTGCTGGTCTCACATCATCCTACATGGCGAATGCTTGGTGCAAGCAATGGAAAAATCATACAACCTATAATTGCTGTTACGATGGCTTTATTGGATTTTAATCATTATTAAACATTGAAATCCTAGTAAAACAAGACACTACTAATACGTATTAATAAATGAGAGTAATTTTTATCGTGATAAGCATAATCATCAGTGTAAATATTGCTGGATTCTCTCATTGCTTGTGCGACATCTTTATACAAGTACGCGAATCTTAGCTGTACACACATCTTCAATTAGACCAAGTAGAAAAGAATATGTTCTGTCAGCTTTACGTGTAAAATTTACATGACCTCGATACCGATTTGAGTTTATTCAAACCTTAGAAACAAGTCCATCGATAGATATTTTATTTACACTTATTCAATACGATATAGAACAGAACACGTGTAGAAATTCGATTAAATATGCGAAAGAGAAGAAAGGGCTAATGATATTTCGCGCATTTATTATTTCATAGCTGTCAAAAATAATTGCATATTTTCATTCATTGAAACCTTGTCAATCATTGATAGATCTGTTTTCTTTTCTCCTACATTGAAATCAACGTAAGTCGTCTAACCATATCTGTTAATGAAGCAATCGACAATAAGTAGTTCTCCAATGAAATCCTCGTTATCAAGCGGAACACGTTCATCAACCAGTATGTCGGTTCGATTCCAGTTCGAGGAAGACGACAACGAACACGAAAATAAACGTCTGACAAGAAAACAATCAGCTGAATCATTTGTCATTCATGAAATCCAACCGTGGTCTTCTATGCTTCCTTCTGAACAACAAAAACATTTGGAAAATGAAACATTTCATTCGTTAGAAGAAGTTGTTGTTCATCCATCACCTCATCGCTCTCGATCATTGTTGATTCATCGAAATCGACGTTTTGATTCTCCTCACGATCGAATTACGCTTCGTTCACTTTTTGGTACTATGTCACAAATCCATTACCTTTTCACTCATAAACAATTCCTTCACGGCCTTCGATTTCTCAAATTTTTCATCAATTTTATCGATTCAGTTTTCAGAGGAATCGGTCAACTCATGTTCGCGAATAATCCTCTATCTGGTTTAGTAAGTTTAGTCATTTTCTGCTTCGTTTCGTCGTAAGAAAGATTGTTTAGGTCATCGTTCTAGCGTTGACCATGAATGAAAAATCTTCGGCTTCCTACGCTTTATTTGGAGCGATAATTTCCACGTTAACCGCCCATTTTCTTGGATTGAATTCGCAATCGATCCAAAGCGGCCTGTATGGTTCAAATGGATGTCTAACTGCATTGATTCTAAGACATTTTTCACCCGGTCACACTTTTTTTCAACTTATCGGACCAATGGTATTTTTTTGCATTTGTTCAACCATCTTCTTCGTTGCACTTTGTAAAATATTCGTTGTGAGATTCGATATTTCACCATTTACATTTAGTTCTCATCTGTGTTCGTTCCTCTGGCTAATTTCCGCAACCAAATTGCATTCCTCTCCTATCGAACTTGATTTGCTCATATCAAATCTCACCGAAATCTCCAATGGCACAAATACAACTTCATTTTGGCCATTAACGATCAGTTTCATCGACGGAATCTTCTCGAGCATAAGTCAAGTTTATCTAATTAATAATGCTCTAACCGGTCTGATTATTCTGTTGGGTGTATCGATTTGTTCGTTAAGATTAACAATCCTCGCTTTAATCGGTACAATCGTGGGTCAAATAACCTCGATTTATTTATTCCAAGTGTCACTGGCTGAGATTCGTCAAGGTCTGTGGGGTCTGAACTCTGCATTGACATTTCAAATACTAGGAGGAATGTTCTTTGTCTTACATGGACCTCACATATGGCTTTACATGATATTTGGATCAATAATGACTGTTTTTGTGCAAGTTGGTTTGATTAAATACTTTCCTGTATTTGGAAAACTGCCACTGATGTTACCGGCGATAATTATCTGTTGGTTTTTGTGTTTATTAGGTGGATCGAGTAAATATCTGATCGGAATCAGACTTCGATCGATAAGCATTCCGGAAGATCACCTACGACGATTTCGTTTGTCGAATTTGGTGAAAATGCATTTTCAGTTTTTGGATGACCTATCGATAATTCTTCAAAAAGTTGGAGGAAATCAAAACATTCCCGGCGAAGATTTATCGACCATCGAAAATGAATTCGTTCCGATACTTCTATGTTCTTACACTCATCAAAATGATTGGTTCAATCTGAAATCTTTACTGAACGAAGGTGCGGATGTCAACGCAACCGACTACGATCTTCGAAGTTCACTGCATCTAGCTGCGTGTGATGGAAACATGAAACTATGTCGAATGTTAATTGAAAAATTTCATGCGGATACGAATCTGATCGACGATTTCGATGGAACGCCATTGTACGATGCTTTTTGTCACGGACATTTCCACCTCATACCTTATCTTTACATAAAAGGCGCCCGAATGCCTATATCGAAGATGAAAGAGCTGGTATTTTTCCTCTGTGCTTTTTCGTTCGAAGGAAATCTCGAAGCGGTACAATATTTGATCGCTTGCGGAGTTAATCCAAATCTAATCGATCATAATGGACGAACGGCATTGCATTTAGCCGTTTGTGGACATCATTATTTAATTGTCAAATACTTAGTTGAAGAAGGGAATGCATCGACATCAATTGTCGATCATTACGGTCATACGCCGTTAGACGATGCGGTGCAATTGTCGGATAATCAAATTACATTTTATCTTCAACATTGGCGAGCTGGTTTAGTGAAAAATACAAAAAATATTTTCGTCGAGGATGATGAACTTGATGACATTAATATCGACGATGATTTTGGAGTGAAGACGGAAGCGGTCGAAAGGAAATCGAGGAAAACTACAGAAGAATGTTTATTACCAGCTTTGTTTTGCACAGCTGCGGGTGAAGGAAATGTGAAACAAATGATAAATATCCTCAAACAATTTCCGCAATTTCGTGCAGATAGCGTCGATTATGATTTTCGCTCTGCAGCACATATCGCTGCTGCTGAAGGTCAACTATCGAGTATTCAGTTCTTATGTAAACATTCCTTAGTGAAAAAGCAAGATTTACATTGGATTAATCGAGAAGATCGTTGGGGATTTACACCGATCGAAGAAGCTTATCGTTACGGACATAATCAAGTCGCCGAATATCTAAAAGAATATCAAAGCAAAGAATCGAAGTTACCGTTGTCAACAACAACGACGGGAATATCTTCGGATTCGCCGTCGAAATCCACCAGAACTTTTGTTGATTCGGTAAAAAAATGGAAAAAAGTTTTCCGTTTCGCAACATTAGTTTTAAACAACGAAGCCGAATTAATCAAAAGTCTTCTCATGAGCGGAGTCTTGTCAGCATACGACACGTATGCAGATTACGACGGACGAACTCCAATGCATTGGGCGGCATTGAATGGTTACGTAAACGTTGTTAAAGTCTTACAGCATTGTGGTGATGACGGCAGAACATGCAAGGATCGATGGGGAAATTCAGCTTTAGACGAAGCTAAACGGAGGAAATTTATGCATATTGTTCATATTCTACTTGATGACATTGTTTAATTTTTGTTTCCTAACACAATGTACATCGGATCAATAAATTCTTTATCTGTAGTTGGTAGGAATTCTCCATCGAAAAAGGAGTAGGCTTTGATTGTTTTCGGATCGAAGTGAATGTTTGTTTGAAGGAAATAATTTGCAACCCATTCGACGCGTTGAGGTTCGTTCATAGAAAGCCATCTTCGGATAACTTTCGTTGGAAAACAACGATTAGAGAACGAAGTTATGAATAGACCATTCGGCTTTAGAATTCTTCCGATTTCGTGAAATATTTCGATTGGATGAATGAGATAATCAATCGAAACAGAGCAGATCACCGCATCGAATGTATTCGAAGAAAATTTCGATAACGAAGGATTCGAATTTAAATCTTGTACTGTGTAACCTTCGTTCAAAGATTGATTTTCTCGTAATTCTAACTCATTCATTCCAAGACCATGAACTCGACCTTGAATAAAAACATCAAATTACGATCAACGAACTTCGATGAAATTTACCAACGAAATTTTCCGGTAAATGCGAAGTCCACGATGAACATAAATCCAAAGTGAACGTTTCAGGTGATTGTTTGATTGTATAAGTGTAGAACTGAGAGAGAACGGCTCGAGCTCGATCGTCTATATGATGGACGAAACGCGGTGTGGAATAAAACTCTGAGTCATTCGTTTCATCTTCACGTTTTAGATCAGATGATGGATTTATTAAGAAAGATTTCAAAGATGACGATAAAAGATTCTTTAAGCCAGCAAAATCGAGTTTCGATATTCGATTCATTTCCAAATGCACTGATAGAAATGCTCAGAAACGAAGACAGAGCATCAACGAATGATAAAATTACAGTAAAGATGTCAGCTTATTTCATACGTAGAAGATTTAACACCCACAAAAGACGTTTATGTTTTTAGTATTTATTTTATTATGAAAGGTGATTTACGTATAAGAGCCGAGAAAAAGCCTACTCAAAAATCGTTCCGGATGATCGAATATTTTCATTATATTGTGCAACGATAATATTCTGACTAATATAAATGCGTATGCGTTCTTCCTCATTTCGAACACTAAAATCATGCGCGAAATCGTACATATACAAGCGGGACAATGTGGGAATCAAATCGGAGCGAAAGTATGACGGAGTCCATCAAAGAGAGAAAAGATGCATCGTTTGTTTCTAGTTTTGGGAGATTATCTCCGATGAACATGGAATTGATACAACAGGAACATATCACGGAACTTCGGACCTTCAATCAGAACGTCTGAATGTTTATTATGATGAAATCAATAAACAAGAAGGAAAATATGTTCCACGTGCTGTTCTTGTTGATCTTGAACCAGGGACGATGGATTCCGTACGAAGCGGAAAGTATGGATCACTTTTTCGTCCGGATAACTTTGTTTTCGGTAATTAATTGCGATAAATTTTATGAGTATATTTAAAAAAAATGAATTTAAGGTCAATCCGGGGCGGGAAATAACTGGGCGACAGGGCACTATACTGAAGGTGCTGAGTTAGTAGATTCCGTATTGGATAGAATCCGTAAAGAAGCGGAAACATGCGATTGTCTTCAAGGTTTTCAACTAACTCATTCACTTGGCGGTGGAACTGGATCAGGTCTAGGAACACTACTCATCTCAAAAGTTCGTGAAGAATATCCTGATCGTAAGTTCATCTTCTCGTCAAGTTCTCTCATCAAGAGTTTCTTCTCGAAAGGTATCATGATGACATTCAGTGTGGTTCCATCTCCATTAGTATCGGACACAGTTGTCGAACCGTACAACGCGACGTTTTCCCTCCATCAGTTGGTGGAAAATACCGATGAAACGTACTGTATTGACAATGAAGCGTTGTATAACATTTGCTTTCGAACATTGAAATTGCCAACGCCGACTTATCCTGATCTGAACCATTTAGTTTCATTGACTATGTCCGGTGTGACAACATGTCTTCGCTTTCCCGGTCAGTTGAATGCCGATTTACGGAAATTAGCAGTAAATATGGTTCCATTTCCTCGGTTACACTTTTTCATTCCCGGTTTTGCTCCATTAACATCTCGGTCATCGGAAGGTTATCGTGCTTCGACTGTTATGGAATTAACTCAACAGATGTTCGATGTGAACAACATAATGGCAGCGTGTGACCCTCGACATGGAAGATACTTAACCGTCGCTGCCATCTTCCGTGGTCAAATGTCCATGAAAGAAGTCGAGCAACAAGTTTTAAACATTCAAAACAAAAATTCATCAAATTTTGTCGAATGGATTCCGAATAATGTCAAAACCGCTGTTTGTGACATCCCACCTCGAGGTTTGAAAATGTCTGCGACCTTCATCGGTAAGTTTTACGTCTATAAACCAAAATATTCTCATGTGGTTTACGTTTTAGGAAATAACACCGCGATCCAAGAGTTATTCAAACGCATTGCTGAACAATTCAAGGCAATGTTTGCGCGAAAGGCCTTCGTGCATTGGTATCTTCGAGAAGGAATGGACGAACTGGTTTGTGTTGAATGTTGATCAAAAGTCAAATGTGGACACTTTGATCTGTTTGTAGGAGTTTACTGAAGCGGAATCGGATATGCATGATCTGATCAGCGAATATCAACAATATCAAGACGCAGCAGTTGAAGGTAAACTGAAATTTGCATATTTCGTGAGTTATATTTGAACTTTTTTTAGATGATGCGGAACAAGAGGCTTAAAGTGAAATGCTTTTTCTACTTGAATTCTAACGACACTTTTTCTTTGTTGTGCTGATTGGTACATTGATAATAAAATGAATAATCGTATTAATTGCCGAAGAAACAGTTTTGATTTAAGAAGATTTCTCCATGAAAGATATTTCTAGTTTTGGAAATCGACTTCCAATGAAAATGATCTTATTTTTTATCATGAATTCAACGGAAATTGTACACCACACGCTGCTCACCCTCATGAATAACAGCTTGTCCGGATCATCAGGATCTGGTGATTACGATGTAATTCCGTACAATGCCACACTCTCGATGCATAGCGTGTTGTTTTGATCATATTGTTTTAGACGACATTTGTTATCGAACATCAATATCGGATTTTACCGCTTGATTTCGATTTTCAGATAAAAAGAGATAACTTTCCGTTATAGACTCGTCCGACATTCTCTACTCGACCTAGGCCAGCTAAATGGTGACTTAAGTAAATTTATCGCAAGTATGAGCCCGTATTCGAACGTGCATTATTTCCTTCCAACACTTGTCTCACCATTCGATGTATCAAACCTGATCAGAGAAATGTTTGTTAGAAAGAATCAACTGATAATATGTGGTTCTCAGCATAGACGATGTCTAGCTGTCACATCGGTCATTCGTGGATTGATTCCATCAAAGCAGATGATCGATGAGGAGATCATTCATTCATTAAGCAATCATCGATGGGTTTCAAAAAGAAATCTTTATTCAATTCCGCTAAATGAACGTTTCATCGGAAAGGTTTTGTACATCACTATTGGCAAGAAGGACTGGATGAATTCTCGTCATGAAGAAGTTGATTTTCTCTCTTAGAATTTTATTCAGGATGGACTCACTTTGACTAATCTTCTCGAAAAATACGACGATATTGTGTGACACGTGGACCTTCGATAAAGAAAAGCAAAACGTTCTTTTTTCTGTTCTCTTGTGCTGATCATCAAGTGAAAATATATTTAGATTCATTTATCTTTTACTATTTGTTTCTATCGCCATGTCGTCACCGACACAGAAAGCCGATTCGTCCTTAAACAACCTTCCCGAGAAAAATAACAACGCTCCGTCTGGCACTATTGGAACTGCAGGTGGTTCAACAAATCTTATTGGTACTGGCAAAAGTACGGATGCATCGACATCATTGGATACTGTCAACAACGATACGCAAGAAAAAGCGCCCATTGATAAACACGGTGATTCGTGGGGAGGTGGAATTCCCCATGTTAATAAACAGTGCATATAGAAAAAAAAGCAGATCTTTTTAATAGTAATCAAGCTTTATTGATTTAAAAATAAACATCTATTCATTTTTAATCAAAAAAGAACTGTATTGCATGAATATCAATAGAAAAATGTTTTTTATGTGTTTAATTATTCGAACCAGCACTATGTTCAGATTTGTCACCATGATCGGGATTGTCTGTAGGGTGTGTTGTTGTTGTTCCACCTCCTGATGGTGCTCCATGAGTGCCGGTAATGTTAGGAGCACCAGCACCACCTGATCCACCGTGTTATGCAGTACCAGCTTTGCCGGTTGTGTCACCGTATGTTGTTCCATCTGCGGCAGTGTCTTTGTTGGATGATTCCGACGACATGTTGTTGGTTTGTAAAGTAAAAAAGTGAATGTTTAAAGAAAAGAAACGAGAGAATGCGATATTAACTTTCTTCGCTGTTCACGTTATTTCACTCGTGACTTAGAAGAATAGTGCACTGATAGAGGAGCTGTTAATAGGAGAGATTTCTTTTCTCTTTTCTGCTAGTAATCAGGTCATTGAGTTCAAAAAGGCTCCTCGCCGTGGAGTTACATGCAACGAAGAAGAAATGACCTTGAATCGGTCGATTCTCTCTATAACTGAATGTGAGAAGAGAACTAATAGCTGACTCAGATTTTTCGTTTGAAAATTGCACAATCATATCCACAAAGATAAATGTCAGTTGTCAAATGAAAAATCTACGCCACACCTAATTTAGTAAACATTATAAAACGTTTTTCATAGGCAATTAGTATCCTAATTAAAAATACAAATATTGTATCATGATGCGTATTCTTTCTCATGGTCTCGTGGTTTATCTCACATTCTCCGCTATGATCGATATTCATGAAGATAAAACAAAGAATTTGTTAGAAAACATGAGACTAAATTGAGAAGGAAATTTTTATTTAAGAAAATGCAACACTACTAATAAAAATCAAAAATAAAATGTCTTTATTGGCTCTATCTGTATTTTCTAATTTTCATATAGATGTGGACATAAAGACCAATAAAAGCTAGACAAAGAAGAAAAGCAACAAGACCAAAAGCAAGTTGTGCTCCGTTGAGTCCAGCAACACTTTTAAGATCAGTGAAAATACTATCAAAGGCACCCACTGATCTTAAATCAGCAACTCTTGCAGCAACGATCGAAAAATCAATGATAGCAAAAATAGTCGCAGCAACAGTTGCACAAAACGCTATCAACGCCCATAAACGAACAGATTTCATGTATGCTAAACGAAACTCGTCTTATTCAGTCGATATATTAAGTGACAACCTACCGATCATAAGAATGAGGACACCAGCTGCCATGATGAATAGTCCTGCCCAAATTCCAACGGCACATCCATAGAGACTAGGTGTGATTCCGATTTTACCGAGAAGACCTGAAAAAGATTTATTCGTCTAAAAAAATGTGTTCTAAAAACTCACCAAGAGATGCAATTTCGAGAACGAAAAGGAGTAGACCAGATAATACAATTAAAGCACCGATAATTGTAGAGAGAAGAGATGGCCAAAGGGCTTTCCATTTGTAATCAATTGGTGTCAATCCTCGTCCATAACCGATTGGATGGCGACCACCGCGTTGTACAGAATGAGCTAGCATTTCGAATGTTTTGAAAAAATATATTTATCTTTGCTTATATATATATATTGCATAGCTAAACGACGTTCTTATTTTAAACTTAATTATTACGCCGTCAAGGTTGTTTGTCTGAAAAACAAAAATATTCATTAGATTGAATAGTCTTTTTTCAATGTGTCTATAGTACTTTTTTAAATACTGAAAACATATAGTAAACATTGCTCTCTACTCTTATAATTAACATAATTGCATCGGTTACACTGGTGCTTATCACTTCCTTTCTATCGATTTTGGATCCTCTCAGGTAAATATATCGAAAAGCGAAAAATTTGCCTCTCCTTCTTTCCTTCGCAGTGTTTCATTGCCAAAACTACTAAAATATTTTTTCATAATTCCATGAAGTTTTGGCATTTAGAAGCGTACTAACAAGAAATATATAGTTGGTGTTGAATTAATCATATTTTGACTCTGTATCGTCGTTATTATTTCTCAAAAGTATTTTAGGAATTTCTTTCCGGGAAATCGTCTTTTTTTTGTTCGAACTTTGGAGTTGTCCTAAGTCCGATTCACATTGCTCATCAGATAACGAAGTATTCGATTTATTCAATATAAAGACATTTCGACATTTACGCACGAGGCATATCCCTCTGGAAATATAATTACTAAAATATTAAAAACGTCAATGATAATCAAATTGCATATCTTTTCTAACACTCCCATCAATGACACTCGTCAGCGAAAAACTCTTTTAAATATCCAAAGAGTCACATATAGTCCATTTAGTAATGATCGTCTTTTTTTCTTCATTTGACTCGTTTTAGCCAGCCATGTGCATGATGTGTATAATAAAAGGCTTTTGCTGACCGATCCACTTCAAATCGGTATTTCAAACTTTGAGCACTTGTGTTTTGATAGTCCAAGAATTTTCTTACACCAGCTAGTGGACCTCTAGAGGGAATCTTCATTCGATCTAATTTCGTGTCTTGTACTATCATGTACGAATTAACACTAACGAATTCAGCATAGTTTATTATAAATCTTCATAAACTGAATCGCAGTCATGAGCAGCATCGTGACTTATAAACACAGTTCTTGCGTTTGCCACGTACTTTTTAACTTCCGCTAATACACTAACATCATTTGTAGATCTTTGAATGAAATGAAAATATGTTTTCCATAGTTTATTATCGGTTGCATTGACACAATCTTTACACAACGTTCTTCTATCGGAAACCCAATCCATTGTGAACGACTTGCGATCAATCGTCAGAACGATCCCAGCCTCACTATGGAATGACATGATCGATGCAAAGAATACTGCTGAACCACCAAAATTCGTCCCTAAGTCAATGATCAGATCGGGCTTGATTCCCCAGATTAATTGTTGAAACACCATTGCATCATTTGGAGTTGACTGATATTGTACGCCTAACCAGGATGAAGCGGTAAACAAATAATCGTTTTCAAACAAAACGTCATAACCATACAATATATCATCGACATTAATAAAAGTATCCGTCGTTGAGGTCTATAACACGAGCATTCTGGACGAAGATTGCATTTGGATTTGCAGCTATACGTCGATCTGCCCGTAAGCTAACGAATTCTGAATGTGAACATTTTTGTAAAAGTAGTTTATCGACGTTGCAACCCTCCGATGTGGTTGCTTCAAGAAAATGTCGATCTCTCTTTGTTTCATTAACAGGAGTGAGACAAGTCAGTTTTTGAATACCAATTATCTTCGGGTGGTAAAAAATGTACAACAGGGAAATGACAATTAACAGACCAGCAAAGAATGCATATCTTAACGACCAACCGTTATGTGTGCCCATGAATAATGTTGATCAATTTGTCCTTTATTCGATAGATCTGAAAAGATCAAATATATTCAACTTTTTGACATTCAAATGATGAAGAAATTTTCTAACTCAAGAACTGCCGCAAAATAGAACCTAACGAGATGAGTTTTCACCGGGTTACCAAACTGTGACAACCTTTTCTTCTGCTCTAACTCGTTTTGAGTGAACTTATTCTCATTACAACTATGCACCTACATCGTCAAAAGAATGATTGCAAATATATGGATGTTAGTAATGTCAATAAAAGTTACAATCGCGACGACCGACGCATGAATATCCAAGAAAAACAATCGAAATTTACTCTGTCGACGTTTTCTTTTTGGATCAAAATCGCAGAAAAAGAAAAGCAATGCATTAACATTGGAATATGCTGGTTCTCGGCCAGTTTAAAACTCATGCAATTGTTTTAAGCTGTCTGTCTCGTAAGCATTTTAGTCCAAAATGACAGTTTAGTTGATGTCCTTCTAATGTATCATAAGATCGTATTTCTTTGCAACCAAATGGACATCTCGTATTCGTTCGAAGCCATTTCGAAATACAACTTTCACAAAAAAGATTTTGACACGTTTCACAAGAATGCGGCCGCCATAATAATCTACAGAAAATATCGGACAGAACAATTCTTTGGGCACATTTTCATCATTGCAAATGCGTTCTTGATCAATTTGTTCCATACGTATATTTGTAACTGCTTCAGTATTGTTAACATTCGTCATATTATCTCACGAAATACTTTGAAAAGATAAATTCTTCCCTTTAAATATACAAAAGTTAAACGACTCATATTTACTCTGTAAATAAGCCCACGTGCAATCTATTATCTTTTCGATATTCGTCTATGGTTACTCATTTTTCTTGAAAAATCTGTTTTTCATAAATAAATATTAGGTTACTCAATAGGATATTATACACCTAATTAGAGCAGGAACAGATCATCATACTGAATAATACATGAATCACTGTAAATTAGGAAAGAGAAAACAAGGAAGTTGAATTGAAGTTATTCCACGGTATGAATCATTCTCTTACGAAAAACATACTCGGAATGTTAGAAAACATTTGTTTTATTTAATCGGTAACAACTTCGTTTCGATCAATCGTATCCGAGTGTATTCAGCATTTCGAGGAAAATTCTAAAGATACAAAACAAGCACACGCGAAGAATTGTTTAGAAGTTGTCAACATGAACTTAGTTCACTAGAAATAAGTCTCAAGTCGGATTTGAAGAGTTCAATGCTGATAAAACCATTTGATTGTCAGCAGTAACTCTTGCAGGAGCAATCATATTGTACTAACAAAATTTCATAAATAACTCTTGGAGTATTTTTCGCACTTCTCACTCGAAATATATAAATAAAAATACAACGTTCCAACGAAATTCATATGGAAAACGAAGCGAAGGATCTGTAAAAAAAGATTTTCAACTGTCTTGTGAAGACTTGACTTTTGTGTTGTGCTTGTGGCATGGAGATAAGCGGATTCCAATGCAAATGGAAATCCTGATGCTGCGAGGAGAATTCGTTGAACAATCAACATTCGACGAATTTGTCGTTCGAACCGATCTTGTTGACAACTGTTCAGTGTAAGTTGACGAATGTTTCGAATCATTCCTTGCAGAACAATGATGATCAGAGTCACTGGAATCACAGTGAAGAACAAGGGTGTTACGACATAAATCTTGAGCAATCGAGCATAATAATTATTCATTGTGCACGAATTATTGGAAAGTTCAGAAAATTAGCCACAAAAGGATCGTTTCACAAATTGCTAGACGAACAGTTTTCATATTATGGAAACGGTTCTTCAGAGCAGCATAAAACTATTCCAAATCCATTCGCAAGAACAATCAGACGATGAATTGTTGTGATGATTGGATTTTGCCAAAATGCTCGGCGTCTGGCAAAAACTAAAGCTGTTAAGATTGATCCGATGAGTCCAAAGATGATCATTGGGATTGCGAAAACATAGTTCAGCCAATGAGTGGCCTTAATAGTTGTTTGCACATCGACGGTAGATGACATTTGTAAGATGTGTGATGTTATGTTTTCGTTGCAAAAAAGAAGAAACGAGTGAAAGGATTAGAAGATTAATCATTCAGAAAAATAATTTTTGTGACGTGTTGCTCTTGTTCTATCATTTCTCGATGGCTTTAGAAGCGTTCGTGAAGAGTTAAAAGCCCTCGAATAGTCTCTAGAATTAATCTTGTTTCTAAATAGTTACGTTTCGGGAGTTTCCTTTAGTGTTTCAATTTGATGCACTACGAGAACAGATCTATTGATGAATGAGTAAGTACCGTAAGACTAAACGAATTCTTTCACAGTGAAAATACGGAACACAATCCTTTATAAATATCTTCAGAATGTAAGTATTGAAAAAGTATCCATATCTTATTTGTTTTCCAATTTGTTCAATCAAAATATGATTATCAATAGATCAAGATTAGTGCTTTTTCAAAATCAAATTATCATTAATTCGTCTCATTGTGTAGTTCTCTAATAGATGTTTAGTATCGATCAATGTTCGTAATTCGTTCAGTAGTTGTTCGTCATTACTGGGAATATTGACACATAAATAAGAGAGAAGAGGAACATACACGTCGACCTCCTGTAGAATCAATTGAACGAGCTTTTTCACATTCTTCCGGTCGGAGAGATTTACTTGAAAATATTCCATAGACGGACAAAGCGAAAGAAGAAATGTCACATTGTCCATCCTAGTCATCTGCGTGAGTTTGACTTTTGTTATTTTATTTTCGACTGACATCGGCGGAAGAACACTGGTTTCGATAGACCATATTGATAAGATATGCAATGAGTTGAGATGCGGTAACAATTGGATAATTTGAGTGAGTATTTGCGAAGAAATCTCGTGACAATTGATCGTTAAATGAGTAAATTTAACTGAATTAAAGATGCATTCACAGTCACGCAAGAACGATTGGTTCCGTTCAATACTGGAAAGAAAACGATCCATCGTGAGTTCACAGGTTGGACTACTTTGTCTTTGATCGACATATTCGTCTGACTTTGGATACTTCACAATGGTCTCTCCAAAATCAAAGCATGTTTTTCTATTTAAAAAAAACCACATAAACAATCAGAATTGATTGAAAATAATTTGTAAGAGTTTACTTTGTTGAACAAACAGAGAAATAAATCACAACATAGTTAATTACAAAATCTAACATCCATCGTTTATTTATCCAGAACGGTGAAATGAATCGATGTATAACTTCACCCAGATTTCGATCTTTAAGCACTCTTGAATTGCTTCCAAAGCAATTGTATGTGAATCTTTTTAGATGTGGTAGAAAGTCCGTTATCAACATTTCCCATCGATTAGCGTTAAGATAAGTCAGGTCAAAATCTCGTCGTACACATAATTCTTCTAGTTGCGAAGATATTTTCTTGATAAGCATTTCGAAATCATCAAAATCTATATAACATCGATCAATGCGTAGATTTTTCAAATATAATAATGTTGGAATCTGTTCACTATCAACTTTTCTATCCGCCTTCTGTAAATCAGTACAAATCAGACGACGTAATTGTGGTGTATGATGAAGTAAAGATATCAATCCATCAAATTTACAAGTATGTTCAATAAACATATATTCAATCTTGCTGCATTGTTCATTCATAATAACAGGTAGACAGATGTTGATCGAATTATCATCGTTTAAGTCGAAATCCACTTCGAATGACATTTTAATGTATTTCAAGACCGGAAGAGAAAATATCATTCGATAAACATCACTGACATCTTCGAATAATAACACAGCGCGGTCAACCGTTAATGACAAAAGATTCGATAAAGATTTTAAGTCGGAATGAAGAAGTTCACCGATAAGAATACGATGTAAAACAATGGATTGAAGAGCACCAAATGAAGAATTACGAGTACAATAGCTAAAAAAGTCATTAATTATATCACTACCTGTCAGATCTAGTGACAGAAGACGATGTTGGTTTGGAATGATAATCGTTTTGTAACATTCTTCAACATTTGATACTGTTTCCGAAGAAAGTTGAATTTTGAGTAGAACTGAAGATGTAAGAAGTTGTCGAAAGCGAGAGTTCAAATTGTGGAATGAATGATGAATGTCACAACCTTCCAAATAATCGAAAATTTCTAAGAAAATTTCATTAGAGAAATCTTCAAGATGTGTAATCGAACGCGTTCTTGCAATAGAAACAGAAAAACAACGATACAAGGAGGAAATCATGTGATTCATTACTTACGTATGTGTATTCAATGTAACTATATCGATAGAGATATACACAAGAGCTATTAGTAAATGTTATTTACACTTCGAAGGGGACTTACGTGGTAACTTTTCATTTTTCTCATTACGAATCTGTATTTTCAGCAATCGTCTGATTCTATTCATAATGAGCGAGAATAGAAAATGACAAAAAGAACATGGAGTATTTTATATTGAATCTACGAGTGATATGTTATTCTATTACTCATGGCGAATAACATCATAGATAAGAATATTTGTCTTCTCATGTTGTGTTTAATAAATGATTCACGGCAAACTTGAAAATAACATTTGGATGATATCTAACAACTGTTTTATATTCATCTGATACTTTTTATTAAGTCTTTCACAAATCAGCTCAGTATATGATATACCACTCTTCGGCAAGTTCCAATCGCGTCATGAAAGCTCTTTATTCATGCAATAGTATTGAATGACAACATGATGTGACTGACGCTTTGCTTACTTTCGAGTGAGTCGCAATAAACGCAATGTAAACAAGAGAAAAGCATATGATCATAGTCTCGGGTGAGTATTCTTCCGTTGGATACATTTGGCTTCGCTTTGTACACGGGTTCTGGAGAGAGCTTCAATGACTACACTCATATACATTTAAAAATTCAAAATAACTTTTAGTACTAAGTTAGTTCATGAAACAATCAACATTTCAGCTGCAATTGAAGTAAAAACGGATCCATCTCATGCTATTATGCGACGATTGTTGGACTTCCTTGTAATATTTTCTTTCTTTCACCAGTGATTAATTCTCTGTAAGACAAATTTTGATATTCTTGTGCTACCATTTCATCTTATTGGACATTTTCGAACGCGCTACAGAATATCATCACGATCCTTTCAAGTACTTCAGCATAAATCTTAGTTATGCGGCGAGTTACTCCGAGCAACTTGAAACTACTTCAACTCCGTTTTTTCGTCTGCCATGAAATGATTTATTTCTGATCGATACTCTTCAAAATTGTAAATCGCGACTGACATCTAAAATACTATTTGAAAAGGAAAAAAAACATGGACGCATATATTTCGATAAACTGACAACTTAGATCGGAATAGAATACGAGAAGAATGATATGTAAACTATTGAATGGTTTCTCATAAATAAGCGACGTTATATACGTAACAAACAATAATAATCTTCCATCTGTATCTGTTGTTCTTCTGCTGTACATACACAGCTATATAAAAATTCACAGAGACTGTTTTCTGGTGCCGAACGGGGAAGCGCTGGAATGAAATCTTCTTCACTTTCTTCCGAGTCATCTGCCACATAGAATAATTCATATTGTTTCATGAAAACCAAACGAAAACGATGATCGCATTTAACATAACTACTTATCTGTTGATTAGATTTTCACAATATTGACATCGACGAGATGAAAATCCACACGCATTCTACTGATATGATTCGATTGTATCATAAGATCGTACTTTTTTCAAATCTAAATGAACATCTTGTATTTACTCGAAACTATTTCGAAACGAAACTTTCACAAAAATGTCATCGCCATAATTTGATTACTTTCAATAGCTGAACTATTTTTGAATATCCTGGTGATAAACAGCGGAAAATTGTTATCATTAGTTTTCTCACATAAAATAAACAATATTGCGATTATTACAAAGATAATATGCGTATTTTTATCTCAATGGAAGTTATACACTTTAGTTTTCTGTCTTTTATTATGATTTTAGGTTGTAAAAATATATAGATTTAGTGAAATAATTCTGGTACAATTGTTTTCTATGATGGTTGCCGCAACGAAGAAATGTATCGAAATATTAAGGTAATAAAAATACCGCACGTGGTGGTAAAAGTTGCTGTTACGGAAGTTGGTATCCATAGGAAATACAAACGAATGAGAACCAAGATGATTTTTGTCGCGACAAGTGCTCCGATATACATGGACAACAGTAGTTTGACTGGAAACTTATTTTGCAAGAGATGAGCATTGGCATGAATAGCTGAACATCCCACGAAGAAACAGGTAAGAGCAGAAAATAAAATCACCGAACTATCATTGATCAAACTTAAAATCCACGGTGCAATGAAATGTAGAAGCCCAGTGAAGAAAATCACCGAAATAAGACCAACGAATATGTTTTGAAACAGGCGAACAGAGAGTATGAGAAAATATGCACCAACAAATCCAATACCAAAGAAAAAGCCAGTAAACATTATGATGAAAATAATATGTAAAGCATCGAATGGGTTCGTCAAAATAAGATGAATTAAAGATGATATACGACGATACCATGGTAAATTAGCATATTTCCTTTGTATTTCTTGTTCAGCATCTGTGTTCACAATAGGAAGAAGAAACTGTTGCAAAGGNACCCGGTCACACTTTTTTTCATCTTATCGGACCAATGGTATTTTTTTGCATTTGTTCAACCATCTTCTTCGTTGCACTTTGTAAAATATTCGTTGTGAGATTCGATATTTCACCATTTACATTTAGTTCTCATCTGTGTTCGTTCCTCTGGTTAATTTCCACAACCAAATTCCATTCCTCTCCTACCGAACTCGATTTGTTCATATCAAATCTCACCGAAATATCCAATGGCACAAATACAACTTCATTTTGGCCATCAACGATCGGTTTCATCGACGGAATCTTCTCCAGCATAAGTCAAGTTTATCTAATTAATAATGTTCTAACCGGTCTGATTATTCTGTTGGGTGTATCGATTTGTTCGTTAAGATTGACAATTCTCGCGTTAATCGGTACGATCGTGGGTCAAATAACTTCGATTTATTTATTCCAAGTATCACTGGATGAGATTCGTCAAGGTCTGTGGGGTCTGAACTCTGCATTGACATTTCAAATACTAGGAGGAATGTTCTTCGTCTTACATGGACCTCACATCTGGCTTTATATGATATTTGGATCAGTAATGACCGTTTTTGTGCAAGTTGGTTTGATTAAATACTTTCCTGTATTTGGAAAATTGCCACTAATGTTGCCGTCGATAATTATCTGTTGGTTTTTGTGTTTATTAGGTGGATCGAGTAAATATCTGATCGGAATCAGACTTCGATCGATGAGCATTCCGGAAGATCATCTACGACGATTTCGTTTGTCGAATTTGGTGAAAATGCATTTTCAATTTTTGGATGATTTATCGATAATCCTTCAAAAAGTCGGAGGAAATCAAAATATTCCCGACGAAGATTTATCAACCATCGAAAATGAATTCGTTCCGATACTTCTATGTTCTTACACTCATCAAAATGATTGGTTCAATCTTAAATCTTTACTAAACGAAGGTGCGGATGTCAACGCAACCGACTACGATTTTCGAAGTTCACTGCATCTAGCTGCGTGCGACGGAAACATAAAAATATGTCGAATGTTAATTGAAAAATTCCATGCAGATACGAATCTGATCGACGATTTCGGTGGAACGCCATTGTACGATGCATTTTGTCACGGACATTTTCACCTCATACCTTATCTTTACATAAAAGGCGCCCGAATGCCTATATCGAAGATGAAAGAGCTGATATTTTTCCTCTGTGCATTTTCGTTCGAAGGAAATCTCGAAGCGGTACAATACTTAATCGCTTGTGGAGTTAATCCAAATCTATTTGATCATAATGGACGAACGGCATTGCATTTAGCCGTGTGTGGACATCATTATTTAATCGTCAAATACTTAGTCGAAGAAGGAAATGCATCGACATCGATTGTCGATCATTACGGTCATACGCCGTTAGATGATGCAGTACGATTGTCTGATAATCAAATCACGTTTTATCTTCAACATTGGCGAGCTGATTTGGTGAAAAATACCACAAATATTTTCCTTGAGGATGATGAACTTGATGACATTAATATCGAAGATGATTTTGGGGAGAAGAAGGAAGTGATCGAAAGGAAATCGAGGAAAATTACAGAGGCAAGTTTATTACCAGCTTTGTTTTGCACAGCTGCGGGTGAAGGAAATGTGAAACAAATGATAAATATCCTCAAACAGTTTCCGCAATTTCGTGCAGATAGCGTCGATTATGATTTTCGTTCTGCGGCACATATCGCTGCCGCTGAAGGTCAACTATCGAGTATTCAGTTTTTATGTAAACATTCCTTAGTGAAAAAGCAAGATTTACACTGGATTAATCAAGAAGATCGTTGGGGATTTACACCGATCGAAGAAGCTTATCGTTACGGACATAATCAAGTTGCCGAATATCTAAAAGAATATCAAAGCAAAGAATCGAAATTACCGTTGTCAACAACAACGACAGGAATATCTTCGGATTTGTCGTCGAAATCCACCAAAACTTTTATTGATTCGGTAAAAAAATGGAAAAAAATTTTCCGTTTCGCAACACTAGTTTTAAACAACGAAGCCGAATTAATCAAAAGTCTTCTCATGAGCGGAGTCTTGTCAGCATCCAACACGTATGCAGATTATGACGGACGAACTCCGATGCATTGGGCGGCATTGAATGGTTACATAAACGTTGTTAAAGTCTTACAGCATTGTGGTGATAACGGCAGAACACACAAAGATCGATGGGGGAATTCAGCTTTAGACGAAGCTAAACGGCGGAAATTTATGCAAATTGTTCATATCCTACTTGATGACATTGTTTAATTTTTGTTTCCTAACACAATGTACATCGGATCAATAAATTCTTTATCAGTAGTTGGTAGAAATTCGCCATCAAAGAAAGAGTAGGCTTTGATTGTTTTCGGATCGAAATAAATGTTTGTTTGAAGAAAATAATTTGCTACCCATTCGAAGCGTTGACGTTCGTTCATAGAAAGCCATCTTTGGATAACTTTCGTCGGAAAACAACGATTAGAGAACGAAGTTATGAATAAACCATTCGGCTTAAGAATTCTTCCGATTTCGTGAAATATTTCGATTGGATGGATGAGGTAATCAATCGAAACAGAGCAGATCACCGCATCGAATGTATTCGAAGAAAATTTCGATAACGAAGGATTCGAATTTAAATCTTGTACTGTATAACCTCCGTTCAAAGATTGATTTTCTCTTAATTCTAACTCATTCATTCCAAGACCATGAACTCGACCTTGAATAAAAACATCAAATTACAATGAACGGACTTCGATGAAATTTACCAACGAAATTTTCCGGTAGATGCGAAGTCCACGATGAACATAAATCCAATGTGAACGTTTCAGGTGATTGTTTGATTGCATAAGTGTAGAACTGAGAGAGAACGGCTCGAGCTCGATCGTCTATATGATGGACGAAGCGTGGTGTGGAATAAAACTCTGAGTCATTTGTTTCATCTTCACGTTTTAGATCAGATGATGGATGTATTAAGAAAGATCTCAAAGATGACGATAAAAGATTCTTTAAACCCGTAAAATCGAGTTTCGATATTCGATTCATTTAAAAATACACTCATAAAAATGCTCAGAAATGAAGAGAAAACATCAACAAATGATAAAATTACAGTAAAGATGTCAGTTTATTTCATCCGTCGAAGATTTGACACCCACAAAAGACGTGTATGTTTTCGATACCTACTTTAGAATGAAGAAAAGGTGATTTACGTATAAGAGGCGAGAAAAAGCCTACTCAAAAATCGTTCCGGATGATCGAATATTTTCATTATATTGTGCAACGATAATATTCTGACTAATATAAATGCGTATACGTTCTTCCTCATTTCGAACACAAAATCATGCGTGAAATCGTACATATACAAGCTGGACAATGTGGGAATCAAATCGGAGCGAAAGTATGACGGAGTCTATCAAAGAGAGAAAAGATGCATCGTTTGCTTCTAGTTTTGGGAGATTATCTCCGATGAACATGGAATTGATGCAACAGGAACGTATCACGGAACTTCGGACCTTCAATTAGAACGTCTGAATGTTTATTATGATGAAATTAATAAACAAGAAGGAAAATATGTTCCGCGTGCTGTTCTTGTTGATCTTGAACCAGGAACGATGGATTCCGTACGAAGCGGAAAGTATGGATCACTTTTTCGTCCGGATAACTTTGTTTTCGGTAATTAATTGCGATAAATTGTATGCTTATATTCAAAAAAATGAATTTAAGGTCAATCTGGGGCGGGAAATAACTGGGCGACAGGGCACTATACTGAAGGTGCTGAGTTAGTAGATTCAGTATTGGATAGAATCCGTAAAGAAGCGGAAACATGCGATTGTCTTCAAGGTTTTCAACTAACTCATTCACTTGGTGGTGGAACTGGATCAGGTCTAGGAACACTACTCATCTCAAAAGTTCGTGAAGAATATCCCGATCGTAAGTTCATCTTTTCATCAAGTTCTCTTATCAAGAGTTTCTTCTCGGAAGGTATCATGATGACATTCAGTGTGGTCCCATCTCCATTAGTATCGGACACAGTTGTTGAACCGTACAACGCGACGTTTTCCCTCCATCAGTTAGTGGAAAATACAGACGAAACGTACTGTATTGACAATGAAGCGTTGTATAACATTTGCTTTCGAACATTGAAATTGCCAACGCCGACTTATCCTGATCTCAACCATTTAGTTTCATTGACTATGTCCGGTGTGACAACATGTCTTCGCTTTCCCGGTCAATTGAATGCCGATTTACGGAAATTAGCAGTGAATATGGTTCCCTTTCCTCGGTTACACTTTTTCATTCCCGGTTTTGCTCCATTAACATCTCGATCATCCGAAGGTTATCGTGCTTCGACTGTTATGGAATTAACTCAACAGATGTTCGATGTGAACAACATAATGGCAGCATGTGACCCTCGACATGGAAGATACTTAACCGTCGCTGCCATCTTCCGTGGTCAAATGTCCATGAAAGAAGTCGAGCAACAAGTTTTGAACATTCAAAACAAAAATTCATCAAATTTTGTCGAATGGATTCCAAATAACGTCAAAACCGCCGTTTGTGACATTCCACCTCGAGGTTTGAAAATGTCTGCGACATTCATCGGTAAGTTTTAGACCTATAAACCAAAATATTCTCATGTGATCTACATTTAGGAAATAACACCGCGATCCAAGAATTATTCAAACGTATTGCTGAACAATTCAAGGCAATGTTTGCGCGAAAGGCCTTCGTGCATTGGTATCTTCGAGAAGGAATGGACGAACTGGTTTGTGTTGAATGTTGATCAAAAATCAAATGTAGACACTTTGACCTATTTGTAGGAGTTTACCGAAGCGGAATCGGATATGCATGATCTGATCAGCGAATATCAACAATATCAAGACGCAGCAGTTGAAGGTAAACTGAAATTTACATATTTCCTGAGTTGTATTTGAACGTTTTTAGATGATGCGGAAGAAGAAGCTTAAACTGAAATGCTTTTTCTATTTGAATTCTATAACGACACTTTTTTGTTGTTGTATTGATTGGTACATTGATAATAAAATGAATAATCGTACTATTGTCAAAGAAACATTTTTTTGTAAAATCATGCGGAAGATAGTTCAGATTCAAATTGGATCGAAAGTATTGCTTGGATTTCAGAAGATTTCTCTATGAAAGATATTTTTAGTTTTGGGAATCGACTTCCAATGAAAATGATCTTATTTTTTTTTATCAAGAATTCAACGGAAATCGTACACCACACGCTGCTCACCCTCATGAATAACAGCTTGTTCGAATCATCAGGTTCTGGTGATTACGATGTAATCCGATACAATATCACACTCGCAATGCCTTACTTAATGGAAAATATCGATGTATAGCGTGCTGTTTTGATCATACTTCTTTCGACGACATTTGTTATCGAACATAAAAATCGTTCACAATAATAAATGACATAATTGCATCAACAATATCGGGTTTTACCACTTGTTTTCGATTTTCCGTTCGACTCGTCAGACATTCTCTACTCTACCTAGACCAGCTAAATGGTGACTTACGTAAATTTATCGCAAGTATGCGTCCGTATTCGAACTTGCATTATTTTCTTCCAACATTTGTCTCATCATTCGATGTATCAAAGCAGATGATCGATGAAGAGATCATTCATTCGTCAAATAATCATCGATGGGTTTCAAAAGAAATTCAAACAAATATTTACTCAAATCCCATGAAATGAATGTTTCATCGGAAAGCTTTTGTACATTATTATTTTCAAGAAGGACTGGATGAACTGGTTAGTAGATGAATTCTCGTCATGAAGAAGTCGACTTTCTCTCTTAGGATTTTATTCAGGCTGGACTCACTTTGACTAATCTTCTCGAAAAATACGACGACATTGTGTGACACGTGGACCTTTGATAAAGAAAAGTAAAACTTTCCTTTTTCTGTTCTCTTGTGCTGATCATCGAGTGAAAATATATTTAGATTCATTTATCATTTGTTCTATCGCCATGTCGTCACCGACACAGAAAGCCGATTCGTCCTTGAATAACCTTCCCGAGAGAAATAACAACGCTTCATCTGGCACTATTGGAACTGCAGGTAGTTCAACAAATCTTATTGGTACTGGCAAAAGTACGGATGCATCGACATCATTTGATACTGTCAACAACGATACGCAAGAAAAAGCGCCCATTGATAAACACGGTGATTCGTGGGGAGGTGGAATTCCACATGTTAATAAACAGTGCATATAGAAAAAAAGCAGTTCTTTTTTTATAGTAATCAAGCTTTATTGATTTAAAAATAAACATCTATTCATTTTTAATCAAAAAAAGAATTATATTGCGTGAATATGAATGAAAAAATGTTTTTTATGCGTTTAACTATTCGAACTAGCGCTATGTTCGGATTTTGCACCATGATTGGGATTGTCCGTAGGGTGTGTTGTTGTTGTTCCACCGCCTGATGGTGCTCCGTGAGTGCCGGTAATGTTAGGAGCACCAGCACCACCTGATCCACCATGTTGTGCAGTACCAGCTTTACCGGTTGTGTCACCGTATGTTGTTTCATCTGCGGCAGTGTCTTTGTTGGGTGATTCCGACGACATGTTGTTGGTTTGTGAAGTAAAAAAGTGAATGTTTAAAGAAAAGAAACGAGAGAATGCGATACTGACTTTCTTCGCTGTTCACGTTATTTCACTCGTGACTTAGAAGAATAGTGCACTGATAGAGGAGCTGTTAATAGAAGAGAATTCTTTTCTCTTTTCTGCTACGAAGCAGGTCATTGAGTTCAAAAAGACTCCTCGGCGTGGAGTTACATGCAACGGAGAAGAAATAACCTTGAATCGGTTGATTCTCTCTATAACTGGGTGTGAGAAGAGAACTAATAGCTGACTCAGACTTTTCGTTTGAAAATTGCACAATCATATCCACAAAGATAAATGTCAGTTGTCAAATGAAAAATCTACGCCACACCTAATTTAGTAAACATTATAAAACATTTTTCATAGGCAATTAGTATCCCAATTAAAAATACAAATATTGTATCATGATGCGTATTCTTTCTCATGGTCTGGTGGTTTATCATACATTCTCTGCTATGATCGATATTCATGAAGATAAAACAAAGACTTTGTTAGAAAACATGAGATTAAATTGAGAAGGAAATTTTTATTTAAGAAAATGCAACACTACTAATAAAAATCAAAAATCAAATATCCTTATTGATTCTATCTGTATTTTCTAATTTTCATGTAGATGTGAACATAAAGACCAATAAAAGCTAGACAAAGAAGAAAAGCAACAAGACCAAAAGCAAGTTGTGCTCCGTTGAGTCCAGCAACACTTTTAACATCAGTGAAAATACTATCAAACGCACCTGCTGATCTTAAATCAGCAACTCTTGCAGCAACGATCGAAAAATCAATGATAGCAAAAATAGTCGCAGCAACAGTTGCACAAAACGCTATCAACGCCCATAAACGAACAGATTTCATGTATGCTAAACGAAACTCGTCTTATTCAGTCGATATATTAAGTGACAACCTACCGATCATAAGAATGAGGACACCAGCTGTCATGATGAATATTCCTGCCCAAATTCCAACAGCACATCCATAGAGACTAGGAGTGATTCCGATTTTACCGAGAAGACCTGAAAAAGATTTATTCGTCTAAAAAAATATGTTCTAAAAACTCACCCAGAGATGCAATTTCGAGAACGAAAAGGAGTAGACCAGATAATACAATTAAAGCACCGATAATTCTAGAGAGAAGAGATGGCCAAAGGGCTTTCCATTTGTAATCAATTGGTGTTAATCCTCTTCCATAACCGATTGGATGGCGACCACCGCGTTGTACAGAATGAGCAAGCATTTCGAATGTTTTGAAAAAAATATATTTATCTTTGCGTATATATATCGCATAGCTAAGCAACGTTCTTATTTTAAACTTAATTATTACGCAGTCAAGGTTGTTCGTCTGAAAAACAAAAATATTCATTAGATTGAATAGTCTTTTTTTAATGTGTTTATAGTACTTTTTTAAATACTGAAAACATGTAGTAAACATTGATATTTACTCTTATAATTAACGTAATTGAGTCGGTCACACTCGTGCTTATCATTTCCTTTCTATCAATTTTGGATTCTCTCAGGTAAATATATCGAAAAACGAACAATTTGCCTCTCTTTCTTTCTTTCGAAGTGTTTCATTGCTAAAACCACTACTAAAAATATATATTCTTTAACTTCAGAACAACAAAGTATAATGAAATCTAACATCACTAAAATATTTCTTCATAATTCCGTGAAGGTCTACAGTTAGAAGCATATTAACAAGAAATGTATAGTTGATGTTGGATTAATCATATTTTGACTCTGTATCAATGTGCATCGTTGTTATTATTTCTCAAAGCTATTTTAAGAACTTCTTTCTGGGAAATAGTTTTGTTTTGTTCGAACTTTGCATAGTTGTCCTAAGTCCGATTCACATTGCTCATCAGATAACCAAGTCTTTATCCAACTCGATGTACTGCGCAGTGTGAACTTGAATGTATTCGATTTATTCAATATAAAGACATTTCGACATTTACGCATAATGCATATCTCTCTGGAAATATAATTACTAAAATATTAAAAACGTCAATGATAATCAAATTGAATTTCTTTTCTTACACTCCCACTAATGACACTCGTCAGTGAAAAAATTTTTTAAATATCCAAAGAGTCACATATAGTCCATTTAGTAATGATTGTCTTTTTTTTCTTCATTTGACTCGTTTTAGCCAGCCATGTGTATGATGTGTATAATAAAAGGCTTCTGCTGGCCGGTCCACTTCAAACTTTGAGCACTTTTGTTTTAATAGTCCAAGAATTTTCTTACAACAGCTAATGGACCTCTGGAGGGAATCTTCATTCGATCTAACTTCGTGTCTTGTACTACCATATACGAATTAATACTAAAGAATTCAGTATAATTTATTAAATCTTCATAAACTGAATCGCAGTCATGAGCAGCATCGTGACTTATAAACACAGTTCTCCCGTTCGCTGCGTACTTTTTAACTTCCGCTAATACACTAACATCATTTGTCGATCCTTGAATGAAATGAACATATTTTTTCCATAGTTTATTATCGGTTGCATTGACGCAATCTTTACATAACGTTCTTCTATCGGGAACCCAATCCATTGTGAACGATTCGCGATCAATCGTCAGAACGATCCCAACATCACTATAAAATGGCATGATCGATGCAAAGAATACTGCAGAACCACCAACGTTCGTTCCTAAGTCAATGATCAGATCGGGTTTGATTCTCCAGATTAATTGTTGAAAAACCATTGCATCATTTGGAATTGACTGATATTGTACGCCTAAGCAGGATGAAGCGGTAAACAAATACTCATTTTCAAACAAAACGTCATAACCATACAATATATCATCGACTCTAATTTGGATTTGCTGCTATACGTCGATCTGCCCGTAAGCTAACGAATTCTGATCGTGAACATTTTTGTAAAAGTAGTTTATCGACGTTGCAACCATCCGATATGGTTGCTTCAAGAAAATGTCGCTCCTTCTTTGTTTCAATAACAGGAGTGAGACAAGTCAGTTTTTGAATACCAACCATCTTCGGGTGGTAAAAAATGTACAACATGAAAATGACATTTAACAGACCAGCAAAAAATGCATATCTTAACGACCAACCATTATGTGTGTCCATGAATAATGTTGATCAATTTCTCCTTTGTTCAATAGACCTGAAAATATAAAAAATATATTCAACTTTGTAGCATTCAAATGATGAAGACTCTTTCTATCTCAAGAACTGACGCAAACTAGAATCCAACGAGATGAGTTTTCACCGGGTTACCAAGCTATGACAACCTTTTCTTTTGCTCTAACTCGTTTTGACTGAACGTATTCTCATTACAACTATGCATCTACATCGGCAAAACAATGGTTGCAAATATATGGATGTTTGTAATGTCAATAAAAGTTACAATCGCGACGACCGACGCATGAATAAGCAAGAAAACAATCGAAATTTACTCTGTCGACGTTTTCTTTTTGGATCAAAATCGCAGAAAAAGAAAAGCAATACATTAGCATTGGAATATGCCGGCTCTCGGCCAGTTTGAAACTCATGCGATTGCTTTAAGCTATCTGTCTCGTAAGCATTTTAGTCCAAAATGTCAGTTTAGTTTATGTGCTTCTAATGTATCATAAGATTCTATTCCTTCGCAACCAAATGGAGTGCTTTAACATCGAATTTGTGGTGAACATCGTCGATCTTGATGTTTTGCACAGCCAAATGGACATCTCATATTTCTTCGAAGGCATTTCGAAACGAAACTTTCACAAAAATGTCATCGCTATAATTTGATTACTTTCAATAGCTGAACTATTTTTGAATATCCTCGTGATAAACAGCGGAAAATTGTTATCATTAGTTTTCTGACATAAAATAAACCATATTGCGATTATTACAAAGATAATATGCGTATTTTTATCTCAATGGAATTTATACACTTTAGTTTTGTCTTTTATTATGATTTTCGGCTGTAAAAATATATAGATTTAGTGAAATAATTCTGGTACAATTATTTTCTATGATGGTTGCCGCAACGAAGAAAAGTATCGAAATATTAAGGTAATAAAAATACCGCACGTGGTGGTAAAAGTTGCTGTTACGGAAGTTGGTATCCATAGGAAATACAAACGAATGAGAACCAAGATGATTTTTGTCGCGACAGGTGCTCCGATATACATGGACAACAGTAGTTTGACTGGAAACTTATTTTGCAAGAGATGAGCATTGGCATAAATAGCTGAACATCCCACGAAGAAACAGGTAAGAGCAGAAAATAAAATCACCGAACTATCATTGATCAAACTTAAAATCCACGGTACAATGGAATGGAGAAGTCCAGTGAAGAAAATCACCGAAATAAGACCAACGAATATGTTTCCAAATAAATAAACAAAGACCATAACAAATCCTCCGATAACAAGCCCCACGAGAAAGAAAAAGCCAGTAAACATTATGATGAAAATAATATGTAAAGCATCGAATGGGTTCGTCAAAATAAGATAAATTAAAGATGATATACGACGATACCATGGTAAATTAGCATATTTCCTTTGTATTTCTTGTTCAGCATCTGTGTTCACAATAGGAAGAAGAAACTGTTGCAAAGGTTGTTGTCGATCGTTAACCCCACAAGTAGTCAAATGTTGTTCTAACAGATATAGAGGAAAACGCTGATTACATTTATGACAACTACCGATCTGTTGACCACATTCTTGTTCATGAGTTTCGATTCCTTCAGTCAACATTAGATGTTCACAATATCGACATCGAATAGATGAATATTGACATTCATTTAATTGATGTGCTTCTAATGTATCATAAGATCGTATTTGTTCACAACCAAATGGAGTACTTTGACATCGAATAGCAATATTCGATAAAAGACATCGAATTTGTGGTGAACATCGTCGATCTTGATATTTTGCACAGCCAAATGGACATCTCGTATTTGTTCGAAGCCATTTCGAAATACAACTTTCACAAAAAAGATTTTGACATGATCCACAAGAATGTGGTCGCCATAATAAACCAGAACATATCGGACAGAACAATTCTTTGGGCACATTTTCACCATTGCAAATGCGTTCTGAACCAATATATTCGATTCGATTATGTGCAGTTAACGTTGAATTCACCATTCTTTGATTGTCAATAACATTTGTCGTAAATATTCTTATTTATACTTAAACACGAATTTGTTGGAAATTTACAACTATTTCCTTATAAGCATTCAAATCGATTGACTCATAACGATTTTTTTCTACCCACCTTTTCTAATGATTCACATGAATAGTTTCACCTTTTTATACTAATAAGATACTTTATTATAACTTAACTACTGAAAAGAGAATCGTTAGTAATACATTTATCATCATGAAAACAACAAATATGATGATTCAGATAAGTCAAAATTCCTTTTTTTTCCTTTCATAATACTATTATCGTCGATACGTTGAATTGTATAATACCCGAAGAAGATTTTTCGATTTCTTTGTCAAACAGACAATTGATTTCAATAAAAACCACTTATAACATAATGTAAAAAATAATTTAGATGTAGTATATATGTCGGAAGTCATTCTTTTCTCATAGATCACGATTAAATATCTTTATAACTTTGTGCAATATGCAAGTTATTCAATAGGAAAGAAATTTTCTTGATAAATATTTCAAAATCATGAAAATGTATGCAATAACAGATAAAATAAGATTTTCAACAGTTTAACGAAGACCGGTTCTCTGAACTTGTTGCAGAAAGATACGCCAATTTGAATGAAATTGGAAATCCTGACACTGCGAGGACAATTAGCTGAACAATCAATATTCGACGAATTTATCGTTTAAATTGATCTTGTAAAGAATTGTTCAATGCAAGTATTGACGAATATTTCGAATCATTCCTTGTAGAACGAAGTTGATCAGAATGACAGTGAAGAGAACGACTGTCATGACATAAATCTTGAGTAGTCGATTGCAAAAGAAGACATGACCAAACAGATTAGTAGGTTAAGTACTCAGAAACAAGATTTTTTTGCCCTCTTCACTCTTGTCTGCATGGTTTCATCATGAAGATGGAAATTATTTAAGTCATTATTCAAAATAATGCTAATAATAGTATAATTGAAACTATAACCTTTGTATAAAAGAACATTTGCCATTTCTTATTGCGACTTATCAATGTTTACTCAGAATGAAAAATGCCCTACTAATACTCTAAGTTAGTATGTCACGTATTCCCTGTAATCAACTGTTCTACTTGGATTTTTCTTATCGATTAGCACCGTTTGCTTCGATAAGCGACACGAATAAGTAAAATTATTCATCCGAAAGTGGAATTTTCCACTACTTTGTACCGTATTCAAATGTGACATTTTTTGTTCATGTAAAATGAAGAGTTGATCTCATTAATAATTATACCAATAGAGATTTTTACATAGCGGTAGAACGTGCACTATAAACAAGTTCGTTGAAGCTGAATGTACGTAAATGCAGAAGAACAGTCTTAATCAACGTTTTCCATCGATCATCGTTTGGAGAAGCTTCAACAACATTGTGTCTAACAATTAATTTACGCAATTGAGGAGAAGTTTTCTTCAAAAACATTTCGAAATCATCGAAGCTTACAGAGCAATTGTTAATTCGCATCGATTCCAAATGAATTAGTGTAGGAATTTGTTCACTGAAGAGAATCGTATAACATTGAGATAAAGATTCACAAGTTAGATGACGCAATCGAGGCGTATGACGAAGGATAGAAATCAGTTCATCAAGACTACAGGCATATCTGATGACGAGATATTCGACTGTGCTAACTCGTTCATCTTCAACGATTGATAGAGAAATCTTTGTGTCGTAGTCGGGATCATAATTCCATCGGTATTTGCACAACGATATCTCATAAGATCTCAATCTTGGTAGGGAGAAAATCGTTCGATAAAGATCATGGAAGTATATGTACCAGCGTCTACCACATCGGATAGTTAATGACAAGAGATTGGGCAAAGATTTCAAGAACGAAAGAATAACTGGAATTCGTTCGACAAGAAGTTCACCGAGCGTGATTGACTGAAGACTATCGAATGATGAATTTGGAATACAGTATTTGATGAAGTTGTTGATGAGAGTGAGGTTTTCGATACGAAGAGAGAGAATGTGATGTTGATGTGGAATAACAAATGTTTTGTAACACAGCTCGATGTTCGAGATTATGTTGGTAGGAAGTTGAATTTTGTATAAAAGTGTAGGACAAGTGAGAAGTTGTTGAAAACGAGAATTTAAATGGAAAAATGAATGATGAATATCACATCCTTCCAAATAATCGAATATTTCCAAGAACAGTTCATTGGAAAGATGTTCAATGTGTGTAATTGGATGATTCCTTTCGAAAACCAGGAATGCGATAAAAGAAAAGGGGAACATATTCATCACTTACCGTTCGTTCAATCTTGAGATTGACTTGTATCTTGATTTTTTATTTTGCATAGTCGAAGATCTTTCGTCGATATTTAACGATCGCTTCCTTATTGTATTGCGAAAATTGTATGCCATCAATCAAATTTATACAGAAAAATACTTACAAACGTTTCCATTTCTACACGTGTTGAAGGTAATATATGATATGCTTGGAGAAAACCAGTTACTGAGTCATCGGAGCCTCCGTAATGACTTCTAACTGATGAAAAAAATTCTTGACTATCAGAATATTCTCAATTACAATCCAGAATCGTATGGTGTATTTCTTAGCAACATTCGATTCGTAGAAATACGATTTCGAGATCAAAAGAAATTGGATTGTACCGCCCTCTATGACATTCTCCATTTGTGTTTTATACAATACTGTATGCCCGTTCGGTTTATTATTACAGAATACAACTTTTTGATGATTCAATAAAAACATTCGCATGCAAAATCAAGGTTTGAGTTCTTGTATAGATCTTTTATTCTTATAAGCAGAAACACACAACAAAAATTTGATTCGATAAGGAGAAAACTAAAGACGCACAACGGAAACACCGATTAAAGCAGATTTCTTTTTTTCTTAAATGCCAACATCAAATTGTTCTTATTAAAAATAAGTCTCAAGCTGGATTAGTCGAATTATGTGTCGGCCCGATTATATGATTGGCGCCAGTTGTTGTGACAGGAACGATTATGTTATAGCCGACGATTCTCAGAAAAAATTGCAAAAGTGTTTTGCGCACTTCACTAGAGATATATAAATAGATATAAAACGTACCCACAAAATTCACATGGAAAAAGAAGCGAAGAACTTCAAGACTGATGCTTTCAACAGCGCTACGAAGATTTGTTTTCACTATATTTGCCGTTGCTTCGAGATAAACGGACTCCAATGCAAAAGGAAATCCTGAAACAGCAAGAACAAGTATTTGTGCAATTAACATTCGACGAATTTGCCGTTCAAATCGATCTTGTTGTGCATTGTGTAGTTTAAGTTGACGAAGATTTCGAAGAATACCTTGAAGACAAAAAATAATCAAAAACACCGGAACCACAGTGAAAAATAATGGCACGGTAACATAATTAGTCACTGTTCTGATATAATAATTTGTTATATAACACCCGTTACTACGTGTAAGTTGACTGACAATCAGAACTGGAAGGTATAGAAGTGACCAGAACAGAACCATTACAAAAATTGCCCAGCGCACAGCTTTTACGCTGTGCCAACGATTCCGAAAGGCAGCATGACGACTTGTACTTGCGTATTGATCGAATGCAGCTAGGCACGGAAAATAAATAGATGAAACCGTTGTTGCATACAGAAAATAATTGAATAGTCGACAAATGATGTCGTATTGAGCAAATAAGACAATGCCAAAACCTTGAGCAAGAACAACTGGCAGATAAACCGTTGGTAAGTGCACTATAGTTGTGATAGAACCTGCAAGTAGATAAATGATGGTCGGATTTTGCCAAAATGCCCGTTGTCGCATGAAAACAATAATCGTTAGGACGGCCCCGATCATGCCAAATACAATAATTGGTATACCAAAAAAGTAGTTCAACCATATAGCTACTGTGTGAATTGTTGCCACTGCTGACGACATTTTTTTTTGCTTCTAACTGAAGCTTTTTGGTGAGTGTATTAAAGAATATTTATAAGTATCTTTTCTTCTGTCAGCAAGATCTTCAATTGGATAGGACAATGCGGGACGACATTTTCATAATGACAACCGATGAAAAGCACTGAGAGTTTATTTTTCTTCATTTGAGTGATTAAAATGAATAGTTATTTAAAGTATTTCGAGGTTCGATAATCTACAAATGATATTCCTGAGCGTAGAATGTGTATCTTCGGCTCTTTCCATGACATAATTCGCTATTTTTTCTTATACTTGCTCTTCGAAAGAGGCGCTGAGTGAAATCAAATAGTGTATACTACATTCGATACAAAAATAAAACTGATTGTTTGTCCAGTCCCGTATATCAGTGTGATAGCGAGAGAGTGTTGGTAGGTATGCATGCGAACATCTTCTCTCAAGGAAAAATCTCTACTAGCAACATTTAATTCAGTCTATCAGCTGGCACGTACGATTATTATTTTATTTTGCAAGAAAAAATTATAAATAGAAACAGAAAAAGAATAATGCTGATGTTATTGTTAATTGATGATGATCACAAAATGAAATAATTCTTGGCTTTGATACCTATTGGCATGGACTACAGAGTTTCATCTACATGATAGTTGTTAGCTGCCTGTCTTTGACGATTCTTTTTCATTCGTATGATAATAACGACGATAATCGCAACTAAAGTAACCGCCAAAGCAGTTATGGATATTCCTAATGTAGCCTTTTCGGTATTTCGATTGGTACTTTTTGATGGGGTAGTATCTTTTGAATTAAGGGATGTTTCGCTCGCAGTCTCTACCGTTTGATTTCGAATATCAATCTCGAAAAAAGGCGGTAAAACGACGGATGGATACTGTGTTAGATCATTGAAGTTTCTAAACTTTAAGCAAACATATAATAAGCATTCAGTATCAATTGCACCCATGATATAAATACTATAACCCTCTGGACATTTTTGTTCAGGAGGTTCGAGCAGTGTGTTGCCTTGATTACACGAATAGAAGCCACCAAAAAAAGGAAATCCTGTAGCGGTAATAGTTTGGCGAGTAAAACACACGTTAATATCATTGGCAATTTTTGCAACGGCAAATCTCTGAGGACATGTTGCTGAGTTAGTAATTGGATTGACGCTTCTGGATGTGAACGAACCACCATAAACGTATGGGGAATCATCTCTCAAAACGTCTGAAGATGATTTGAACTTGCTAAATATGCTGCAAGTATATAAAACAGTATTACGCCGATCAATTTTACCAGGAATATCTTTACAACAACTACTAAACCATAGAAATCCGCAACTCTTACATTGTTGCGTGTAGGTTGGTTCGTACTGGGTTAAATTATGTAAAACAGAAGCTCTAAAGCCACTTGGACATGATAGGCCACCAGTATGAAAGTTATTCAATTGATAAGATCCGCACTTTCTAAAAATCAAAACTTCCTACGTCGCTTATTGGTTTCATTTCATATCATTGCTAACTTACCGAATCAAACCAGGTTTCTCATCGCAAGTGCGATAGAATCCACCAAATTTTGCAGTCGTATTGGGGTTTTTACATGCCCCATCATCCACATTAGCAACCCAATTAAATGATTCTGAAGCTGGACTCATGCATCCATAAATGACATTCCTCTCGACATACACGCTTACTGCCTTGTTTATTTCCTGTCGTACTCGGGTCAGTTCAATTTCTGATAGTTCACTGATTTTATCCGTTTGAATGAAAGATGTTATATTCTCGATAGTTCGACGTACAACAACTGGATTAGTTCTTACGGATGCTTGCCAAGATTGAATATCTTGTCCTAAAACGAACACACTTCCACCTTTTTTATGAATAATTTTGTGAGTTATGCCTTTGGTGTACTTGTCAATATCCGCAGAACTAAAGCTCGAACCCGAGCTGAATGCTGCTGAAAAATTAAATGTGTCCATGA